ACGAGAAAAAATTTGGTACGAAAGTTGTACAGAAGTTTGTCATTTTTAAAGTTAGTAACAAGAAATAATTATGCGAATGAAACCGGGGCAATATCTAGTTAAAAGTAAAACAAGTCATTAAAAACAGTTCAAATTCGACCGCCAGGTGTCTAGTATACAGCAGTTCATTTATTATTAACAACGACATCTATTGGTACATTTGTAAGTTAGCGCTCTGCCTGGCTTTGTAGAGCGCACAACTTAATATTTACATACTTTATTTAAAAAACATATTGTAGGAAAAAATATTAACATGCTTTGACACAAGATGAAAAATCACATAAATATGTTGTTCAAGCGATTTCAATAAATTGTGCAAGGGTACTATCATGGGGTGCCAAAGTACCTGAGGCGGCTAGTGGCAGACTATTTAGAGGAGCGTACCGTCGTGTACGAGGACCGAGAAGGTAATCTGAGATGTCGGCCCATGTCGTGCGGTGTTCCACAGGGGTCTGTTCTTGGACCCCTCTTGTGGAACATAGGGTACGACTGGGCTCTTCGCGCCGATTTCCCCCCCGGGCTGGGTGTAATCTGTTACGCAGACGAAACCCTGGTGACAGCCCGGGGGGCAAACTTCCAAGAGGCGGCGCGCCTGGCCACAGGGGGAGTCTCCCTGGTGGTCGGGCGCATTGAGGCGCTGGGCTTACGGGTGGCCCTAGATAAGACGGAGGCCCTGTTATTTCATGGGCCCCGTCGTGGTCCACCCCCTGGCGCCTCAATCGTGGTCAACTCGGTCCTCGTACCGGTTCGGGCCCAGATGAAATATCTGGGCCTGATCCTCAACGGGAGGTGGCTCTTCGACGAGCACTTCCGACAGCTTGCTCCAAAGCTGGTCGGCGCTGCGTCTGCCCTAGGGCGACTTTTGCCCAATATGGGTGGACCCAGCGTCGCGACAAGACGGCTGTACACGGGGGTTGTCCGGTCAATGGCACTGTACGGTGCACCGGTGTGGGCGGCGGCTCTGACCGCCCAGAATAGGGCACGCCTCTGGCGCCCTCAGAGGGTAATGGCGGTCAGAGCCATACGCGGTTACCGCACCGTTTCGACGGAGGTGGCATGCGCGTTGGCCGGAACTCCCCCGTGGGATTTGGAGGCGGAAGTGCTCGCCGAAGTTTATCGGCGAGTGGCTGACTCCCGGGCGGAGAGCGGATTTCGCCCTCCGCCCGAGGATGTGCGCGAGTGGCGCGAAGCCGCTCGCCGAGCCACGATGGCTCGTTGGTCGTTCCGGCTGGAGACTCCACGCGCTGGCTTCGCCGCCGTGGAGGCTCTCCAGCCGGTCATCGCCGAGTGGGCAGGGCCCTTTCCTTCCGGCTGACGCAGGTGCTTTCCGGGCACGGTTGCTTCGGAAAGTACCTGCACTCGGTCGCTAGGAGGGAACTGAGTCCCGCCTGCCACCACTGCGACTGCAGTGAGGACTCGGCCCAGCACACGCTGGCGGTCTGCCCCGCATGGGCGGCGCAGCGCCGGGCCCTCACTGCAGTCATCGGAGTGGATCTCTCGCTACCGGCCGTAGTACGCTCCATGGCCGGTAGCGACAGTTGTTTTACCGCGGTCGCAACCTTCTGCGAGGTAGTAATCTTGCGGAAGGAGGCGGCGGAGAGGGCCCGGGAGGACGACCTCCACTCGGACCCGACCCGGTCCGCGTGTGCCGGACGTCGCCTAAAGAGAGGAAAAATATTGAGACGGAGCCCGCACCAGGAGCGGGCTGGCGCTAGGAGGGGTCCGGATGTCTTAACAACAGCTGTTCCCGGATCCCTCCTGTTACAGGCGCAGAGTGGCACACCGTGTGGTTTTAGTCGGTCCGAGTCCGACACACCACCCCGCCGCAAACCCCGGAGGGGTGACGGTCCGAGGGGATTTCCACACGTTAAAAAAAAAAAAAAAAGTATATCAATCTGACCATTTCATTTTTGTAACTGTTGGTTTTCCTAACTGGCGTTGCTTCTTTTCCTTGAATGATCAATAAAAGGATAACACGACCAAGTCTTACATCTGATAGAATACACTAATATTAGAAACCTGAAGAGATTGTTTATTTGGTTGAGCGCGCTAATCTCAACAACTACAGGTTCGAATTGAATAATTATTTTAGAGTTGGGTAGCCCATTTACCGAGAAAGGCTATAGGCTATTTAACGTAAGCTGCGGTAGCCTAGTGGTTAAAGCATTGGACTTGCGATCAAGAGGTCGTAAGTTCGAATCCTGACCAGTACACTACCGACGTGAACTCACTCCTAACACAAGCAATTTAGCTTAACGGGAGAGGTTAACGGGAATACTAGTAATTACAGTAGCTAGTAAACCTTAAAAAAAAACATAAACACCATCATCATCATCATCACATCCTTTAATAGTCCACTGCTGGACATAGGCCTCTCCTTAGAAAGGGGGTTTTGGGCCAAAACCTCCTTTCTAACGAGAGGCCTATGTATTGTAGGCCGAAACTTTTGGCCTACTATACCACGCTGGCCAGACGGGTTGGTATAGGGTCTGTGTCAAGTTTTCATTCTCTCTGCAGTGCTGATTGTCCTGCGTAAGCTCCCTTAGTCGGCTCTTACGACACCCACGGGATAAATAGGGGTGGTGACACTCCGTATTCTTAATCCGTCACCACACGGACCATAACGCTACGACCAATAGGAGTGAAGCATGAATGAAAAATATTGCGAAAACGGGGAAAACTTATTCCTTTTGGGAGGCGCAGACGAAGTTCTGCTAGTGATGAATGAGAGGATATCAAAACCAAGTGTTAAATCTTATGGAATAAAATGATATGCCCTCAACTGTAGTTGGATAATGTATAAAGTACCTGAAGGTACGTTATAAATAAAACATGAATAGACCATCGTGTGTCGGATATGTCCAGTCACATCTCACACACGGTCGTCTGGTCCCAAATTAGGGAGAGCCTTAGGGGAGCCATTTAGCGGCGTACTGTCGCAGATGAGGTGAAGAGAATCGGCATGACGAGTATCGAGGTCAAGTGCGAAACTCAGGACGGAACGCGATGGAAGACTACTGTGGGCGCCCTCTGCCCCATATCGGGGACTTAGGATATTAAGTCACTTGAAGTCTTAGGGAGCCAGAGAATTAGGGGGTGGGGAGGTGTTGTAGTGCCTCCTTTTAACCCCACCAGCTAGGTAAAAGGCAACGAAAGATGTGCTTAATATTAGTTTTCTGCAAGGGTATGGTATCACTCCGGTTGAGCCAGTCCGTTTGTACCGAAGCATGAACTCTTCTTTGGAATGCGGCTCAAAAATCCAAATGTTGTTATACGCCTTTTTGCGTATATACCTATTTATATTTTAGTGTAAGTACCTCTATATTGTTATGTACATACCTATGTATTTTTTGGCGACTGCGTATTGGAAAAGGCAGCTTGGGTAAGCTCCCCACAAGGTGGTACGACAACCTGGTGAAGGCCTCGGGTTGGGCATCACAGGACCTGTGTCAGGGGAGGCCTATGTCCAGCAGGGACGTCCTTCGGCAAAGATAATGATTATGATGATATATTTTTATCTATCATTTGCTTAATAATAATGATTTGCACGTGTTATTAGTTTGTTTGCAGCACCTACTCCCTATTTTCTCTAAATCACCCAAAGGGTGACTGGCTGAGGCCTGAGGCATTATATATGTATAAGTCTCTCTCCTTGGAAATTGGTGGTTGTAGATCGGCACAGGCATCTAAGAGATTTTCGATTAAATATTTGGCGTGCTAAATATTTGACAAAACAGAGATTGTTGCTATTGTGTGTGTTGATCTATGACTTTATACTATGAAATAATCAAAAAGAAATGAAATAAAGATATTTTGAGTTTGAGTATACCTATTGTAAGTGAATAAAGCTTAAATAAATAATTTTCTAAGTAGACTCACTCAAGGTAAGAGAGCCGGATGACGTTGTGAGTTAATAATGTTTTTATTTGCTGTACTAATATTTGTACGCTTCTAAAACGATTTTTATTTTAGTATTTCTTCAATTATTACTTTTATATTTATGTAATTTCTTTATTTTTTAATAAAATGACAACGCCAAGCGCTATCTACTGCGCAAGTCAAAAGCTTGTCAATTTTGGCTTTGTCAAATTCAGCAACGCGACAACAAGCCCAGGTACGATACTAAAATATGTAACTAAATTTTATAAAATACAATGCAATAGAATATATTATAGAAATGAACTTCAATATGTCTAAAGTATATCAGTCGAGTTAAATAAAATATTTTTTTTTGCCGTATGAAAATAAGAGTGTTTACAAATGCAATAAAGGGATAATTATTTTTAATATTTAACTAACTGCTTCTTAAAGAATAATAGAGTATAGAGAATATGACAGAACTAATACTTATAGTGCTTAGGTCATTGACCTAAAGGTATATTTTTGTCTTTTTTTAACAAATTCCGCACTACACGATTGTTAAATTCTGTGTAAATTTGTAACCGTGTTTAGTAACTTAGAGAATCTGTAAAATAATCAAAATCATTAATTTTGTACACTTTTTTTTAAACCTTCATGTTCTCACATATATAAAATATGAAAATATATATTATGTTTTTAAATTTTATGACTTGTATTCGTTTATATATAATGTGTTGTGTAGTACACATAAGTCCATTCAAAGAGCAGGACTAAAGGTGATTCTCAATGCGAACTGAATATAGTTTTTGTGCATAGTAATAAATAACTATAAATTTAATTAAATATGTCTTAAGGTTAGTCTTATTTAAGTTCTAAGAAAATATTCACGTTTAAGGCTTAAAGTTAAGGGATACAGAATACAGCTGTAGCAGATTTGGGCGCTTTTCACTTTTTTTTTAAATAATTTATGGCTGGTTTGAACGCGCTCAGAGAAAACAAAATGTGTTATATCCGACATTAAAGTGATTAAACCTTGAATCTAATTTTACAATTATAAGAAAGTAATTACTTTCAAAATATATTTTATGTTTACAGATAAAATGGCGACAAGTGCTTCTGGAGCCGTTTTCTTTCTTGGAACTCGTGCGCATTATCAGGTAAGCAAAACGTATTTGTTACTTCGAAAATAGTTAGTAATCCTAACGGTCTTGGGTTCGATTCCCATCTAGAAAAAATAATTGTGTGGTCAGAACGAATATTTCTCATGTGTCTGGGTGAAATTTATCTACAGTGTGTATTTAGAAATATATAATTATGTTTATCAGCAGTCTCGTTAGTGATAACTATGGTACCGGCTCTGCCTAGTTTGGGATCAGAAGGCCCAGTGTGGGATGTGTCAAGTTGTTATTAATTAATCAAGTCAAGAGTTCAGTAAGGGGGGTGAATACGTAAGTTTACATTAAGTCTTTCGCACCCGTCTTTCGTACTCGCTCTGTGTTTTCGCTTTAGAAACCTACATAAATTGTTACCTTAACTTTGGTGTTTTTTTCCGTAAATACTTTTTTGTTTTGAACTTGTTGTGAAATCATATATATATTTAAATGTACCTACTTAGATTTTATGTTTATTGTGCTGCGATTCATCTGTGTGCGTTTCTTAATTGCTAATTGTTGGCGCAATCGTCAGGGGCCCGTTGAAAACCGGTGTTGTGTTTAAGCACGACATGAACTGAGCTGGCAGCCTTTGTTACAAATTGTGCTTAAATGTTTAATAATAATAATAACGTGTTTTTGTAATGTACCTTGTATCCTTGTGTGTTTTATGTATCTTCTGTAGCAGACTTAAATGGTTTAAATGGTTTCACTAGCTGAACCTCGCAATTTGTTTGCGTGTCTCGAAAGGAATACATTTTTCATTGATGTTCGTCTTTTATTGGTCGCAGCGTGATGTTATATCGCCTTCTTTGATGAATGGTCTATCCACATCACATCACATCAACAACAGCCTTTAATAGTCCACTGCTGGACATAGGCCTCTCCTTAGAAAGGAGGTTTTGCCCTACTATACCACGCTGGCCAGACGGATTGGTATAGGGTTTGTATCAAGCTTTCCTTCTCTTTGCAGTGCTGGTTGTCTTACGTTAGCTCCCTTAGTCGGCTCTTACGACACCCACGGGATGAATAGGGGTGGTGACACTCCGTATTCTTAATCCGTCACCACACGGACTATCCAACACTAAAGTAATTTTTCAATTCGAACCAGTAGTTCCCGAGATTAGCGCGTTCAACTAAACAAACAACCTCTTCAGCTTTTATAATATTAGTATAGATTTTTAAAAACTCGTGTCTTCAGGTCCTCAACCAACCGGAGTCTCAATTCGACGTTGAGAACGGCAACACATCCACAGAAACGATATACCAGAACCCTTCGGTCCAGGATCTCTGGTCTCGTGAGCAGAACCCTTCAGTTACCTCTGTGCAAGAGTTGTGGCCGAGGGAACAGAAGCTGGAGGTGGATAACGAACGCTGGGGATACTGTGAACAGACGGAGGTCAAAGGTATTGTAGAGAATAGAAAACAGAGTTGGATGGTTGAAATGTCTAATTATTTCAGAAAAACAGTAGATGGGAGGAGACACAAGCCGATTTGTTATGTGGATTTTGACTGCACGGATGGCGTAGAGATTTAAGCTATCACCTTGCCTCTTCCTACTGCTCTGAGGGTTGTAGGTTCGATCCCTACATGGGACAACACTTTGTGTGAACCACATGTTGTTGTTCCGAGTGTAGGTATTCTTTGTGTCCGTTTCATGTATGTTTGTAAAGTCCCCCACGACACAGGATATATTCCTAGTGCGGAATGTGTCTTTTTCAAGAAAGAAGAAACATATGCCGGAGCGATAATACGGCATCACAGAATACCGGTGTTAAGTAGGTTATTCTTTTTTTAAGTGAAAACATCTTTAGGCGCGTTGGGCATTTTTAACAACAAACAAAATAATGTATTTTTTAAGATGGGGAAAAACCATTGAACTCGCGACACTGTTACCGTTACCAACACCTCTGTACATAAGTATCTACATCTATTGGCCCTGTTTACACGAGAGTTGTAATATAAATATATATTGTGTATATAAGTGCAACATAGATATATATATTCATATCGGAACTTTTCGAATCGACAAAAAAAAGCAAAAAAAAAAAATTACGTTTTCACTTCTGTCGGCACTCGCGAAGGGGGCAGACGAGCAGACGGGTCACTGATAGACACTTTCTATTAGGTGACCCATCTGCTCGTCTCGTGACCAACGCGCCCATGAATGTCTGCAACTCAGAAGTCACAAACGCGCGGATCCCAACTCCCCCCACCCGAGACCCTTTTTTTTTTTTTTTCGTTTTTTTTTTTTTTTTTTTTTTCCGTGCGGAAATCCCCTCGGATACCACCTGTCGGTGGCATGTCGGACCCGAACCGACTAAAACCTCACGCCTTCGCCGGTCCGCTTGGTTCCGCCGGGGAACCAGGTATACCCTGGGCAAAAGATGGCAATGCACTTGTGGCCCTTTGAGTTGTAGTGGTCACTTACCATCATACCATGTTTGTAGAATCTGCAAATATTTGTTTCGGAGTTTGGTTGTTTTCTATGTATAACATGTATGTATTTACAAAAAAAGAAACATATAAGTATTGTCAGTCCTAGTCTTTTATCAGTAAGTCTAGCTTTCACAGTTAATATTATTTTAACGGGAATTAACGCGATCTCTTATTTAGGGTATTACATACCTCTGGTTTGCCTGACGTTTCGACCAGGTTGCACCGGCCGTGGTCACAGGCTGACTCACTCCGTGGTCACTACCGTTAAAATAATATTAATTTTCATGGAACGCGAAAGTTTAAAAGTTAGTATAACTTTCACAGTACAAGCTCTGCTTATAATAATAATAATATAATAATATATTTATTGTTCTCTCTCACACAGATATGGTTACAATAAACAATCTTACTCTAGGTTATTTTGAGTGAGTCTGTGTGAGAGACTGGTATCTGTACTAGGTTCGTAGACCTGTATGACAAATTACAGCCTCCCCTAGCTCTGGACGGTTGTGGTGCGTTAAGCAGGTACAACCTGTTTAGGAGTGAGTAGTATTTATTATGTGAAGTGAATGAGAACGCATAGTATGTGAATGTGAGTATATGTGGGTGTGTGTGTAGCGTGTGTGTAGGGGAGTGGGTGTGTAGTGTGGTTTGAGTATTTGTGTGGATCCTAAACTCTAGGGGGACAGCGCATTTCAAGACGGGACCTGTAACAGGCTCTCTGTTTCCTCATAGCTAAGGGACTTTAGCCAGCGAGTGGCAGCGGTTTTGCAACCGTATTTTGTACATGAATATATATGCAATATCTGGTTAACTTTATTGTATATGTATCTACCTAGGCAACCAAAGAATTTGCGAGCAAAGGATGTAAACCATCTATTGCCCTTATCATTTGCTTAGTTTGCAGCTGCAACTAGATGGCGTTGTGTGTCGAAAAAAAGCCCATGGGCTACTTTTTATTCTGTTTTTTCTTTTGATAATAACGATATTAAATCAATCGATGCCCCTGGCAAAATCTAGTAGTTTATTAATAAAATAATGTACCTCTTCCTGCAGTAGACGAGAGAGAAAAGACCGACAATTACGTGAAAAGATCTCGAAGAAGTCCGAGCGAGACGGCGCTGTGTGAGCGGGACGACATGAAACCGGCGCTATTGAACTCCGTTGCGGACAGGTAACTTTTCATCCCTCCTTGGAACACCGCTAACCTCGAACATACTTAGTTATGACACTCGGGAAGTCCCCGGAAAAGGTAAACTGTTTTGGAGCCCGGAACGAAATCAATCAGAAGTAAATTGGAGGAGTTTGAAGTGTAACAATCTCACTTCCTTCCTTAGCACCTATGTAAAGGTATAATTATGTGAATAAATACAATACATAGGGAGTACCTATACACACGATTTTTTAGGAATTTAAACTTAAAAACACGTTTAAAGGAAAGTCTAACTAGGAAATGCAGTGAACGCTGTCCTGCATTATTTCAGTCAGTTTCCTCCTGCATAGTCAGTTTTACCGGAGATAGTCAGTGTAGTGATGGATTGAGAATACGGAATGTCACTACCCTAATTCATCCCGTGGGTGTCGTAAGAGCCGACTAAGGGCGCAAAACACCACAGTACACCTCAAAAAGAAGGAAAACTGGACACAAACCCTATACCAACCCGTCTGGCCAGCGTGGTATAGTAGGCCAAAACCTCCTTTCTAAGGAGAGGCCTATATCCAGCAGTGGACTGTTAAAAGCTGTTGATGACCGGAGGGAAACATCTCCTCTAATTCGGTGGGTTACTTTAGTTGCTCCGCAATTTGATGTAAAATTGACTGATGGAGTGGTGATAAATGATGAGGTAATAAAACGGGTGTTAACATGGGTTAAAATAAGATGCAGGGTTAAGAATTGAGAAAGAAATGCTGCATGTTTTAAGTATGTTAATAGGATAGGCGAAGAGAGGAATATGGAACTCAAATTAATATGCCCTGTATCTCCCCCTACGTGGATTCAGCCTTAACTGGATGTATGAGTGTAGGTGACTTACTCGGGTACTCCAGGGGGCAGGAAGGTTCTCGCTGCTAAATACTTCAGGAGGGGACACGTGGCTTCACAAAAAAAAAACGCGAATTATTGTTTTTTGAAAAATACCTTGACCAAAATTTTAAAATAAAATATTTGTCAAAAAGTAAAAGGAACTTAGTTCCTATCGGATGTCCCACGACACCACACGGTTTATTTTCTTAGATCTAATTATGACGTAAGCGTTGTTGACAATGAGAATGTAGAGTTAGATCAATTTTTAGGTTGCATATATTTGTCCACAGTCCACCACAAAAGAAATGTGCCAAGACTCCCCTCCTGACGTTTCTGTGGTCTCTCGCGCGTCGCAAACGCAAGTTGGATACCGATCAGATACAATACCTGCACCACATCGATACTGCCCTCACTAGTTGTACGTACAGAGAGTCTTGTCGCTGCTTGGACTGTCAGGTAAGTCTGAATATCTTTTTCTTTCTTTAGCAACTCTTTCAACGTGAAACAACTGGAGGCTCAGCCCCTAACCCCCTTATCCGCCTTCAGGTATTTTGGCTTGGCTGTATGTATATACGTCTTACTTCTGGGGGACCCAATAGGGGCACTTTATCTATCACTGAAGCGATCTTCCGCGTCTTTGTTGGGCGCCAGATTAGTAGGGTGTCCTCGAAATACAAACGGGAATAAAAAAACGTCTACCCCAAATAAATATAATAAATTAAGAAAATAATTAGAACATTTTACAATTAATTACTATGTAGACTTTTTTAGGCAATTCTTTCGTTGCATTAGTGAAATACAGAAGGCCCAACGAGGCCAGGGCCTGGAGGTATAACTCAAAGGCCGGCTACGCAATTGCACTTAATATTTCATGGGCGGCGGTAGTCATTCATCGCGGCCTTAGTCATTGCGAGGCCCCGGGCGGGTAGACCATTGTGAGGCCCTTGTTTTTCTGAAATTATTAGTTTTAATGATGATACTTAAAAAAGGATGCAACGCTACACATACCTATTGCTATTTGAATATAAAAGCCTAAGCCGACAACAGTCGATACTGAAAGCCTGTCGAAATGAGACACTAAATCCTCGAGCGAGGCCCCAGACGGTTGCCCTGCTCGTCACTTCCAAAGGCTGCTGTCACCAGCAGTGCTATTCTCTAAGGAAACCCACAGCGTCAAACTTCAAAGTAACTTACTTTGAAATTCGACGCTGTGACAGCGATGTAGCGTCGAATTTCAAACGAACTTAGTTTGAAGTTAGACGCTGTGGTAGTGCTGTACGCAAGGCTGTTTCCTTAGAGAATAGCACTGCTGGTGTGTCTGTTCATTTGCCTCCTATATACTATAAAAAAGACAGCCCTAGCGCTGGTACGTTTTCCCTCTCTGGGATCAGACGGCCGTTTATCAGATTACTAATATTATTTGACCAAAAATAAAACTCTTCATTCAAAACGTCAATTGATTTTATTAGATTCTGAATACATATCTCTTACATCAACTAGAGTTAGTTTCATCTTACAAATATACTACAACATAGTTATAACACAAATTATTTAACATTAAAGCTTCATATCGCTTGTTATATATTATAAGCAGAACATTACGTCTTTAGGATGTTTCTCTCCGTCACTTTTACACAGCACCATCTAGCGAAAACAGCTCGAACTACTTCGAAAATATTAATCCTACCTGGCACAATATATGTTCCAAAGATTTGTATCAGCATTTAGGGCTTTAAAACTCATTATTGCCGTAGTGATCACACCTGGTGGGACAGAACCCACCCAGAGTTGGTTTTACTCTTCTGCAGTAATTTAACTATAGTAAACACAACCTTTTAGTACTTATAAACTTAAATAAATAGTAAATTATGATACCTTAAGAACTTTTATAGATTTTAACTTTGATTAACATCCAATTTCTGACCCCAAAAATCTTATGCAACTCTCAATGGTGTCGAATCTTTTCCATTCTCTGCTAAAACTATAATGCTTAGCAATAACTATATACTTGGAAAGAGATCTAACATACAATTAATTAATTTCGGCCTTAGACGTCTCAGTGGCGCCTCTCTGATCACAGGACACGGGTACGGGTAGACAGCCTTTGTCAGCTACTCTGCCGTACCAATCCAATGCACTGTAACTTTTGAGTTTGAAAGCTTTGTTACAGTTTCTGACCATGTTAAAACCCTAATTTCAATATAATACAGTATTTTTTGGATTTTTGTCTCTTCTAAAACACACTATAGAATGACAAAAGTGTTGATCAGGAGTACTAAACCGAAGTAAAGAAACTGATTGAGCGTTGTTAAGGCAAAACACTTTAAAGTCGAGTTACATTGTTTTGGATTGGCACGGTAGTACTGCTGTCCCAGCTCTTTCGCCCAATTCCTTACTCCACTTTGCCTTCCTACTTTGTCCCGTTGTAAAACAAATTACATTCTCAGGAAGACTTTGCATCAGACCTTAAAAGAAACCAGAAAAGGCATTGCAGACAAACATCACGCCAACCCAAAGTAAAATAAAAAAACGCAGAAATATTATTAGATATTAATAACCAGTAATAGTAATTCTCGGGTTAGTTTGTATTTTTTTTTTTATTTAAAAAAGATAAGAACTATTTGTCAGTGGAGTTTTTATTTAAATGGTGCAATTGTTTATGGATAATTTTGTTACCTGCCAGTAACTGTTTGTACATTTTTTTAAAACATGTATATTAGCTATTCATATCAATGATATATTATTATAATGCCATGTTCATGTTATGTGTGAAATTAAAAACGAAAGTAACAAATCCACTATATAGAGACATTGTTTAATCCACCAATTATCTATACAAATAAATAAAATTGAAGTGTCTAGCTATGCCTAAAAAACAGTTTAAATATTTTTTGTCTGTCTGTTAGTTCCGGGTAATCTTCAAAACGGCTGGACCGATTTTGATAATATTTTCCTACCAAGTAGCTGTCTATCTAAGGAGTAACTTAGGCTATTTTTCTCTCAGAAAAACCCTATAAAATTTTGCATGGTCCGGGAATCGAACTCACTAAGGCAGCGCTATTCAAATTCCAAGCGAACGAAGTCGCGGGCACCAGCAAGTAGTATAATATAACTAAAAACAGCTTTAATGGCACACTGAATGAAAGGAAAAAAGAATTTTAAATTCCACTTCCTAGCGTCATTGGTAACAAGGCTAATCAGTAGGACTCGTCAAAACGAATCGGAAATTAAAAAGTATTCGGAATAAAAAAATATTTCAAAATTCAGGTCCGATCAACTCTCGATCTCACAAATGTCATGAAAGGTATTCTCGTAGTAAAGTATTACGAACACTAGTAGAATACCGATTCCAATTTCGGTCACAATACGATAAGCATATAAAAAAAGATTCCTAAACAATAGTTAGTCCGAAACAAACCATAAAGATTTTAAATTACTTCTATTTGACAAAATATCTTGCAACATTTATTTATTTCCTTTAAAAACTGTTATTACAGGTTTAGCCCAATGCAATAGTGTTATACCATCTACTATAATTCTTAATGCTGTTATTGTGAACATCATACAAAAGGCGTTTTGAAATTATGCGAACACATTTGTTAAATTTGGAAGTTTTATTACTGTTATCACCATGGCTTTATATATATTATATTATACAATATTCATTAAGCAAAACAATGTCAAGTTCAATACAAATAATTGTTGTTGGTATACAAATATTGCTGCTGTAATAATTAATAGAATTAGTTTATAACTTTTTTTTTTTCAATGTCACAATGAATCATCATATGCATATATTGTAGCTGGTTATATAATAGTACGTTCTTAACTTAGATTAGTGTGTCAAGGTATTTTTTTGCCGTCCAACGCCATATTGCATCCCATAAACAATACGATATTAGTGCCTCTAGCTGTAGATAATTTCGCTATTTAATGACATGATTTAGATTTAAAAAAAGACCACTTCTGCACTAGCAATATATCCTGTCACAGGTAACTTTATAAACATATCTGAAATTTACACAAAGAACACCCAAACTCGGAACAATTTGTGATTCAAATTGTGGATTGAACCCACAACACTCAGCTCAACAGAAAGTAGTTAGGTGACCGCTTAAACCACTACACCATCTGTGCAGTCGATAATTATTATCTATAAACTGTGTCACTAATGTATAACCAGCTGAACACTTAAACATAACATGCATGAATAAACTTAATCTACAAATTTGTCAATGTCATAATGTAAAGCATCAGTAGCGTCCGGATCAACTTCAGTGATCTTCTTCCGTTCGTCCAAACGTAGGCACTTTAAACATTTCTCACCTTTACGTAACCAACAACTTCTATGATACATTGAGTTACATTTGTCGCACATTAAAGCCCCACTATCAAACGGATATAAAATTTCGTTGTTACCACATATTTCACATAAATAACCTTTACCAGAACACAGACGGCAATTGGTTATATGAGAGCGGCATACCTCCGTCAATGCCGTCAGTTGGGTTTCAAGAGAGCCATCATTAATGGATTCTAGATGTGACATACTATATTTTTTGTTGACATCACCAAGCTGTACAATTAACGGTGACAATAGGTTAGCACCATCCGTACAAGCACACAGATATCTCCTCATCCATTCTAGATCTTTCCTCATCTTGTGTACCCACTCTAGCTCTGCTATAAAGTTAAACAGTTTTGGATTTATTCTCTCTACATCTATATATGGTCTTTTCCAAGATAAACTCAGCATTTGGAAGGCTAAACGTGAAACATACCTTTTCTCCCAATCCCAATTGTGTACAACTCGTGCTGGTATCGCACATAAATCATTCCAATGACACGTCGCACAGAAATAAAGTCCTGTGTAATCGCACAACCGTGGCTCGTTCCAAGAGTCTTTGAATGTCAATGCTGTTTCACATTCTGCACATTTATAATTTTGCTCAGCTAAACCTCTTTCCGGACAGATACTCATTTCGAAGCTCCCTCTCTCAGTCATAACAACATGAGCGCATACCCTACATATGTGGTCTACACATTTATAATGGCACAAATATCCACAGTCTGTGCATATGTACGAACCCTGTACAATACTCCAGATGACTCCGGAACAATGATCACAGTACTGCTTTCTGTTTGTAGGATTAGTTTGTTGTTCGAAATGATGTCCTTTTATAGACACTTGAACTCTAGTTTGACCATTATTGTCTTTAATCTCTTCTAAACGTAGCCTAAGTTCTACTAAATATCTCACTAACCATTTCCTCTCTTCAGAACACTGTGCGCTGTTTAAAACAAGCTCTTTACACTGATTTATTGCCTTTTCTATGTCTTCCTTTGTTGCTGAACTGTGAATTTTTAATTTCTTGTTGACTATGGACTTGGGGACGTAGCTGGAATCGTAGCTCTCGTCTGCAGATACACATCCTGATGTGGATGATGATGACGCTCTCGATGTTATTTCAACGTTTGGACTGCAGCATATTAGACTATTTTTGTATTTAGGCGAGTCGTTTGCTATCGCGGCCGCCATCGTCATGTAATTAACAATAATTCTGTAACAAAGGATGTCTCAACGTTGATACATGTTACAATAATAACGCTTGATTTTCGTTTGTCACTGTTTACTATTCGCGTTGTGGCGGACGTTCGTCACTGTTATCTGACGTTACGTAGCATCTCAAATAATTATTAGTAAATGTTTTGGTACAATTTATAGCCACTGCACAAATACAAATAATGTCGTCATACTTGTCTGTTTTGACAGGTACCTTTAGACATTTTGCGACTGTACGGTTGCCGTTCCGTTTTACGATAGTACGTTGTCGACTTACAATAAAGATCTTTCCGGGGAAATATTGTGGCAAATAATAAACAAATTACTACTGGTCTCATCAAAATATATTTTTTAAGCAAACAATAATTTGGTACTTTTGCCTTAGAAGGAAATTAGATTATTCCAAACAGCACTGAAAACATTTTAGTTATTTACTGTTAGTAATGAAACGTTTTGATGGGTAAACGTGGTACCAACTTAACAGTAAAAGATTGCGCTTTCATTAAAGATAAAACGTTTCGTTCTCACTAAAAAGGAATGTGGCTCAGTGCCACGTTCCGTTGTTGCTAATTATAGGTACCTGATAGTTGTCTCTTATTGAAAAAAATATTTAAAGATATCTTACGAGGTAAACGTACTTACTATCCAAATGTAATTCGGGTTTGTATGTGAGTATATATGTGATTTTCTGTAAAGAATATATTGTTAAATTTCGCCTGTTTTTAAATTTACAATAAACAAAATGCACCTATATACTTAATGTTTTCTTTGCATCACCCAATGGTTGACTGGTAGAGAATGCCTTAGGCATTAAGTCAGCCAATGCACGAAATATGCATAATGTATCAATAAAATAAATAAAGAAATGGGACAAATATGTAGAAGAAATGTTGTTATGGCCGTTTATATAAATTGACACTTCCTGCATTACATGACTCAAACATGAAACGACAAAATAACAGTAAGTAAGTACTTACACTAACGTGCTTAAATGAGATCATTGTTATATTTATGCCAATTACTCAATCCCATATTATCGTTAGGTTTGACCTTTGCCCTGGCACGTGTAGACTGTCTGGGATTTATGTAGTTCAGATAATTGGGCGAACAAATTTAAACTAGATTGTAATTACCAGACTTGTACCAGTTTCTTATCAATCACGTTTATTGTTGAGCACAAATATTGCTTTAACACGGTTTAAGGAATGCAGTTAAAAGCAATTAATACTTGTTTTAAAATTACCTTTTATTGCGTAGGATCGAATTACTATTTAATATAAAACTTGCTGACCCGGCAAACGTTGTTTTGCCATATACATTATTTCAAAATCTTTCGTCAAAAAAAAACAATTAGCTGAATGAAAAATAGATGTTGGCCGATTCTCAGACCTACCCGATATGCACACAAAATTTCACGAAAATCGGTGGAGCCGTTTCGCAGGAGTTCAACCACGCACACCGCATGTAGAGAGAACGAAAACTTGACACAAACCCTATACCAACCCGTCTGGCCAGCGTGGTATAGTAGGCCAAAACCTCCTTTCTAAGGAGAGGCTTGTGTACAGCAGTAGACTATTAAAGACTGTCGATGATGATACGTTTATATATGTATACCTTCGTTTCTCCTTTATAAACAAATGAAGCAAATCATATCGCCGGACCTGTTGGTCTGGTGGTCGGTGACTGTGACTGCTAAGCCGGAAACCGTGGGTTTGATTCCCACCCAGGACAAATAATTGTGTGATGAGCTCGATCATTTGTTCTGTGTCTGGGTGTAATTTATCTATAAAATGTATGTATTTAGTAATATAAAAGTATGTTTATCAGCAGTCTGGTTACCATAGTACAGGCTCTGACTAGTTTTGAATCCGACGCCCGTGTGTGAAGTTATTTGGAATTCTAAAAGTCCAGTCACAAAATGTGGAACTTGTATAAATGTTTATCTTGACGTTCTGAAATTTGTCACATAATATTTGACTGCACGGATGGCGTAGTGGTTTAAGCGGTCACCACGCCACTTCCTACTACCTCGAGTGTTGTGGGTTCAAACCCCACATGTGTGTGTGTGACGACACTTTGTGTGATCCACAAATTGTTGTTCTGAGCCTGGGTGTTCTTTGTGTCCGTTTCATGTGTGTTTGTAAAGTCCCCCGCGACACAGGATATGTTCCTAATGCGGGAGTTGTCTTTTAAAAATAGGATAAAAAAAAATGGTTTCCGCGTCTTAAGGTATTTACGGTCAAAGTTCTCTAAAATTGCATTGTAGTAAGTGTAGTAGTTGTTTTTAGGAAGTAGTAGGAGTTCATGGGTAGCCATAGTCAGACTCAGTAACTGTAAGGAGTCTCGTCTGTTCCTTTGCCACCCTTTGAAAAATATATATTTCAAAGCCATGTTAATTTTGATACTTCCAGAGCCGTTACTTCGAATGTGATGACAGTGAAGAAGAGTATAGTTCAGACGACAGCTTCGTGCCGCGGTATGTGGCTCACCAGGTCATGGAGGCGCAAGACCACCTCCATCGTTACCACTTGGAGGAAGAGGAGGACGAAGACGACGAGGTGAGGCCACTTTTGTTCTCTTTTCAGGAAGAGGTTACATGTTAATGGTATTGTTATGAGTCGTATTAAAATTAAGTCCTGGTAAGACAAGGACGTATATATACATATATATATATAACAGGTGAAAGGGACATCGTACTGAAAACTGAAATAGTGTTTTCCTGGGTGGAAATCAAACCCACGACCTCCGGTTTAGGGGTCAGGGTCACTAACCACTAGACCAACAGGCCCGTCCATCGTAATAGTTTGAGTTTTTCTTAATTTCTAATATTTTTCCTTAAATATTACCAGATGGTGCTTGATATTGCAATTCTAAAACAAAATATTTCACATTCAAGTTCTTTTTATTTCAGTAAACTAAGAATATAGTTTTATTAGTAATAACAATATAGTTATATTCGTATTTAAGTATATAAACGTCTGAAGGTTGTCTGTCGAAGATCGCCGTGAGCGATAAGACCGCCGATTGTTACTTCTACATATTTGCAGCTCATCTTCTTGTTTTAGTATTGCATTTCTTTCTTAAGTAAAAATGTGGTGTAGGCTAGTGTTTTTTGTTATTATTATTTTTTATGTTTCACTTCATTTTGACTTTTATTCGATTTTATTTTCTTAATCTATGTATTGTCTATTTACCTTTTAGTCCTTAATAACGGACATACTGGCACACATCAAAACAACGTTGTGGTATATTTAATAATGCCATTGTATCTATCTGTGAATTGAAAAAGAGTGGCCATGAGTTTGTTTGCCCTTTCTTAACATTTCTTTACACTTTCTTCACGGGCGGTTTTTGTTAAATTCATTGGCTTACTATTTGACAAAACAGAGATTGTTGCTTTTGTGTTTAAGTTGAGTTGAGTTTTTGAGTTTATTTAATGTGCGTACAATGAAGACATAATAAATAAATAAAATATAAATAGGTTACATTATTATAAACTAGCTTTTACTTACGACTTTTTTTGCGTTAATGTCGACGTAATCAAAGACTGCACGGATGGCGTAGAGGTTTAAGAAGTCAATTCACCGCTGCCTACTGTGCTCACCACACAGAGTGTACCACATTGTGTTCACAACACTTGTTGGTCTGACTGTTTTTTTGTGTACTTTTCATGAATGTTTGTAAGTGCCCAGCGACACAGGATATGTTCCTAGTGCGAGCAATGTCTATTAAATGAAATGAAATCGTTATCCCGCAATTAAAGTAACCGATGTGCTACAGTGCTACTTCAATATCTACTATTTAGGTACTATCTTTATTATAAGCGTATAGGAAGCGTGAACAGAAGGCCAATACTCATAAGTACGGTCAAAATTCAGTTCGTATCTGTTCTGTTCGTAAAATACTAAAGTATTACTAAGACTAGCAGAATACCGATTAAATTTTCGGTTACTTGTGTAATACGAGAGTGAAACTTCAAAGAGGAGAGACCGATATTTAATTTTTATTTTTTCCTTTCATCTAGGTTTTTAAAACTCCGGGGGTCTACGGGGGGGTCAAAATTTTTGTTATTTTTGGCCTAGGACGCACCGTTTCCGAGATATTTCAATCTAAAGCAAAAAATCGTCACTTGATAGTGGAAAGTGGAAACACGCACAAAACCAGAATAAACCAGTTTACGCTGTCCGTAGGTGCCACGTGCAGTCCGGCGACCATACACTACTACAAAAGCAAAAATTTCTCCAAGCTAATTTACCTGTACTTTACTACCAGAATACTTTTTATAACATTTGCAAGATTGAGAGTAGATGAGAACTGAATTTCGAATGAATTCTTATTACGAGAATTGACCTTTAAGTCTGTAATTAATTGACCTTACAACCGAAATCTTTCCAGGTGTTCGTAGACAATGTACCAGGCGACAACACATCAACAGACCTGCTTCTAGAAAACAAGATGTCCGTCTCCAGCGATGAGACAACGGAAGTGACGCAATCAGAAGCTGAAGATAAACTCCAGCTGGAAGTGGCAGCTGGAACACCTGTAATTTTAAATTATCTATTGACTCATCCTATTACTTGTGCTATTCAGTAAGGGTGGGCATCTAAACAGCAGGGGGTCGTGGGGCCACCCTATTACGCTTCTGCTTCAGAACTAAAATGCTTCGAGTCAACGTAAGAAGAAATACTGTTATGCTCAAGTGTTCTTTGAGATTCGTGGGATAGTCATGCTTCGGCGCAGATGGAGCGACTCGGGAGGAGATACCACAGCTTCACAGAAAACTGCTGTTAGTTTTTTCGGTTTTATGCACCGAGTGATTTTAAAGGAGCTCAAATTCTCCCCTCCCCTTGATACGGGGAGGGGGTAATCAAGACTAATTTACAAAACCACCGCCACTAATTATTATTATTACGCCAGTGTAAGATTCGCCGAAAGTTTAAATCTAAAAAAAGAAGGTCTTAATATTTGATAAAAAGGATTCTGATGGCATTTATCTTCGTCCTTGACCAAATTACAATCACAGGTGAAATCGCAGTGGGTAAAACCAATCATTTCATCACATGATTATGATGTAAATGTAGCAAGTGTCCATGGGCGTTGGTAGTCACTCAAAATCAGGTTAGCCGTCTGCTTGTTTGCTTCCTGTATCATAAAAAAAACCTAGTCATTGTGTCTGCCGTGGTACCTCACTTTACTCCATGAGTAAGGTCCTTTGTCGGGCATTAATTGTAAAATTAAGTTCAATTTAAAAAGCGCTTAAAAGTTATTCGTCAAAAATATTTAATTATCTCGCTAAAATTTAAGATTTCTTTATATACAACTACTCTTAGCCTTAAGATTAATATGTAATTTAATTAATGCACCATAGACTGCCATAAACTATAAATCGCACTATATACCGAAGATTATAGAAGACTAGGGTTGCCAGATTATAAAATTATTTAAGATATCATAAATCGGCATTCTAATGTAAGTATTCTGTTTGTGTAATAGACAAGCAATTTACTTAGTAAAAATAGAGTTAGTGGTCACTGTTTTGCTCCTAATTGCTATAGCGTGATATTATAACCTTTCTCAGGAATTGATCTATCAAATGATATAGATTATTCGTAGTACCTAGTAGTCGTTACAGAAATTAGCGCTTTTAAAGTAAAAAAAAAAACCAGCTCAATTTTAATGGTATATGTATGTAGGTTAGCTTGTGGATGTTGTTGTATCTTAGAAAATAAGTAGAGACTTTAGCTCTTACAAGCTCATCCGCACAAGTTCGTCTGCATCTCGCAAAAGGAATATTTTTGTAACATCTTTCTTTGATGCTTGGCTCCTATGGGTCATAGCGTGATGTTACATAGCCTATAGCCTTCCTTTTTTTTCTCTATCACCTCCAATGCTGTTTGGAGCCTATTACCTACATTATCCTTTCATACCAGTTCTCGCTTTTGCTACTGCTCGTACTTTCATTCCTCATACTAGATCTTTCGTTCACTCTGCCTTTCGTTCTTGTCCAGGTGGAATTCCTGCTACTCTACTCTTTTCTCTACTGTTTTTTCTTTATTTTCAACACTGGGTAATTAATAACAACACTAAAATAACTTTTTATTTACATTGCTGTTCTTAAGCTTACGGCTATATTACATGCCAATATAGCTTTCCTTGATAGATGGGCTATCTTAAAAACTTTTTACAATTCGTACCACTACTTCCTGAGATTAGTTAATAGTGAGAATCGTAAATAAGTAGCATTCACTGTACAATTGTTCAAACATTTAATTGCAAGTTTGACAACTTAATTATTATGCTGTCGTTTTATTATTGAGTATGTTGCAAGTTAAAGCCTATTTATTTTTACTGTGGGAAAGTCACGTCTTTCTACATATATACCGGCTCAAGGAAAGCTGCGCCTTACCACGTGCCGTTCTTCAGCCCCGGATCTAGGAGATTGGGTCAAACCGGGCCAGTTTTAGTTTTCAATCCCTAAAAATGCCAACCATCATGATATATTTGTGAGTTTTTTAATTTATTTACCTCAAACGCTGGAGAAAGGGAGGCGCTATTATTAAGTTTCTGCCCGGTGTGAAAAAATCGTAAATCCGGGGCTGCCGTTCTTAACGAAAACCGTTGCTAAGCAATTCTTAAGTGGCTTTTCACCTTGTGGGTATCGGAGCCCACACCCACCTTTTTCTGGGGAAGGGAATTAGGGGATGAACCCAAGAGGCAGCAACTCACTTGTGACTCTTGAGTTGTGGGTAAACAGAGGCGGTGGCGGTCACTTACCATCAGGTGAATAATTGTCTGCTCGCTTGCCCTTATATAAAAATTAATTCCCAAAAGAGTAATATAAAATGGTTTAACGCAGATTTTATACCATTTTCAGACAGTATAAAATAATAGTTCCTACTGGCAACCCCGCGGATAATAGTAATAAATATTTAAGAATTTATGATACAATTTTAAAGATAAAAATAAATTCATGAACATATTTAAATAGCAGAAATTGTATGTGTTTTTACTGTTTTAACTAATAAATTGAGTCTATGTTTATCATGTTACATACACCCTCTACCTAGTTTGGTATCAGACGGCCGAGTGTGAGATGTGTGAAATGTATTAATATTATATAATGTGTAACGTCTGACATCTCAATTTAGCAATCGGCTAACTCTGTTGGAGCTAGTGGACTGTATTTTTGGTGTCATTCGTAAATGAAATCCTTGGTTATGGGATTTACGTGTTTTTATTGGTCTTGACAGAGAATACACACATAATGAGATTCTCAACCACAATGTTGCCACTTTAACAAAACAAAATAATTTGTTTATGATTGCCATAAACAAACTCTAGCACCACGGTCAAATTAAATAGTGCGCGCTACTCCGGCTTCCTGTATGATACAGGTTACTTCCGTCCCATTTTATGAAATCACTCGCACAGAATGCGAGGGGATAGCTGTTACAGATCAAACAAAAATATAATTATTCACGTGCATACTGCCAATGTCAAAAATGACAGTTATCATCATAGAGACACGAGCATAGAGTTAACAAGATTGGGGATCTTACAATATAGGCAATGAGAAATGGATAATAGATAGTTACCTCTATTTCTTTCTAGTCGAGCTCTGTGGTTGGCTGGGGAAACTTTTAATCTGCCGCCTGTTCTACGATCAAAACCATGCCTAATTCACGATAGCCGATCGCAGCTTAGCTAAACGGAGACAGATGGTACTATCGGGCACCAAGCTATCTCGTTGCCTGTATCGCTTCCACTTACAGGCAGCTGTACTCCGTGTTCTCTCTATGCTTTTATCTCTATGGTTATCATTAAATAATAAAATTGGTTGTCAAAGCGCATAGTGGCGCCAAAGAAAATGTTGCCAATTAATATACTCGCTGGTAGACTTAGTAAATTACATGTAATTACTGGTGGATGTTTTTGTACACTAATAGTTTGACAAGGCTTTAATTTTTAATATCAGCTGCAGAAAATTTTAATATTAGCTAAATAATATTATATAAAAAAATAATCGTCAAAGTGATTATGTGAAACGCTTACCTAATTAAAATAGTTGGTAACGAGATAAGTGAAATATAAATAATTCATTGTGTAGTCTGTGGTTTTTTTTTGCCGATACCCAATACAAATCGCGAAGTGGTATTATCAAATAGAACTCTGGACTCTCCGGACACACTCAATTTGAGTTAGAGGGCATTCTTTACACTCCCTAATGCATCCCATTACCCTTCTTCCAATACATATTTTGCCATCTTATCCCTAAAGTGCCCATCATCATCAACAGCCTCTAACAGTCCACTGCTTGACAGGAGATTTTTGCCCTACTATACCACGCTGGCCAGATACGACGGGTTGATATAGAGTTTTTGTCAAGTTTTCCTTCTCTTTGCAGTGCTGTTGTCCTGCGTAGTTTGCTCCTTTGGTCGGCTCTTACGACACGACTCTTACGACATCAAATTAATTTCTATCGAAAACTTTCACACTTCAGTTCTATGCATGTACATATCTCAGAAACGGTTGTAACGATTTGGATCAAATTTTGTATTTAGATTGTTTGTGTACATACAAATGCTGAGCATAACTCTCAAACATCATCATCAACAGCTTTTAATAGTCCACTGCTGGACAAAGGCCTCGCCTTAGGTATAGCAGGCCAAAACTTCCTTTGGTTTTGGTCTATTATACCACGGTGGCCAGACGGGTTGGTTTAGGGTTTTTGTCAAGTTTTCCTTCTCTTTGCAGTGCTGTTTGTCTGAGTAGTTTGCTCCCTTAGTCGACTTTTACGACACCCACAGGATGGATAGGGGTGGTGACACTCCGCATTCTTAATCCGTCACCACACGGAATACACGAAACACGAAACTCTCAAACGCGAATGTAAAATTGTTTTTGTCTCATTTTAACTACTCAAGGATTCCTATTAAATTTTGTAAATTTACTTAAATTTAAAAAGATGTGCCAGAATAATTGGAAAGAATATTTTAATCAACGATATCTAGAAAAAGGAACCTGGTATAGAACATTTCAAGTGAACCTCCTCGTGTTCCACGGTTTGCCAACAGAATTATTAATAGGAAATACATTCAGTCAAAAAAGTATCAGGGAATGGATGATTTGTTAAGCCCCTAAATAAAAAATTGAAAATACGTTGTTAGGGTTACATAAAATTACATAGATTAACTTAATCCAGAAGTACTGATCTGAAGGTATTCATAACTTGACTGTCAAAATCCACATTAATCGATTAAATCCACAGTTCAATAAAAAATAAAATACATTTCGTCTTAAATCTATTTATTTCTCAGTCAATAAAAACATTAATTATTATACATTTTCATTCACACAGACTATATATAAATTTTATTTTTATAATACCATAACAACTAAGACGGTAGACAGTGAAATAGGTAGTATCAGTGTTGCCAGTTTATAAAAAATCTTCTAAATTAGTTAAAAATTGTTTAGACACAGCAAGTTTGCGGTAAAAATAATTTGACATAAATACCTGTATCACTGCCTACCCAACACGAGTTGAATGGGATAGCAATATTATATAATAACTAGTAAAACGTCATTTATTCTGTATAACGTCAATTTACATTCTACCATAACGTGTAACAAGGATGTACCGTATTCAGTAAACTCTGTAGAACATTGTTTGACGGTCCCTGTTGGTCTAGTGGTTAATGGTCTTGACTGCCATGCTAGTGGTCGTGTATTCAATTCCCACCCAAGACAAATAATTGACTAAAGAGCACGATCATTAGTGGTGTCTGGGTATAATTAATCTATAATAGGTATGCATTTAGAAATATACCTGAACGTCATTGATACAAACAAAGAATAAAACCAGAAAGACAGAAAGGAAGACACATTATTTGACGATTTAATTAGCGAAGGGACGGCAAAAGAAAAAAAACATTCAAATTTCTCCTTACATCAAAAGTTGAATACGGCGTCCGATAGATGGAGTTGCATTGGTTTTCTGTATCGCGATCGTGTTTCACTACCTAAGTTTATATTTAAGCCGTTCAACAATTAGAATTTCTTTTCTCACATCAGAAGACAGTTTAAGTTTCATTTGTTCTCAAGTTTTCTTTAGATCTCTAGGTCATTGAGATTGAGAGACGAATCATAAAAAGTGTACGAGTTCTAAATTGGAATTCGTTTTTCGAACTTTTAAATATATTAATAGTAATTATATAATACAGCAATAGCAAATACGTCACATCCAGTTAATATCTGCCGTCACCTAAGGGCATTTCCGCTCGAGCTGCCCTTTGCCACCTTCGTCGTATTCCTGTGAGGAGATCCACATCTGCTGGAAGGAGCCTATCGATGCTAAGATGGATCCACCTGGATGAAACAAAAGTAAATTTAATACACGCAAGTCCACGTCCTGTTTAGGTCACCGCTATGGTTCTTAGGTTCGTAGCGTTATGTTAAATCCAAAGACCAAAAGACCGACAGTCAACTGGTAATCCGTTCACTAGCTACAATTTGCCTGCCACACACAGCTCTGCATCATCAAAAGGTTGACTGGAAGAAAATGCCTATGGCATTAAGTCTGCCTTATGCAATGTAATTAAAATGTTCAATAAACCACTAAAACTAAATGTTCAATCACCCAATTGAACATCGGGTCGCCGTCAGAGAGCTACTATGTGGCCCAGGTGTACTCACCGATCCAGGCGGCGAACCTGCGCTCGGTGGGCGAGGGCGCGGCGTGGCTCTTGAGGCGGTGCGAGGAGGGCGCGCGCGCCGCCAGCTCCTTGGCGAGGCGGTCGAGCCAGCCCGGCGAGTTGGCCACGCCGCCGCACGCCACCACCGAGCCCCACAGCGCCGGCCGCGCGTCCGCGTCGCACCCCGCCGCCGCCGCGCACGCTGCACCAGTTACCAGAGGCTTTTGAGTACGTCAACACCGCTCACTTCGTCACAGCGAGACATTATTATATATGTATTTCGCTCTGCTTCTTTCCGTGTGAAAACGGAAATAAGAACGCGTCGCTTTCAGTTAAATTATAACTATCTTCTACTTAAAAACCATACTAGTCGCCGATGGAGTGCCACAAGGATCTTTTCTTGGCCCTCAACGATTGTTAATTATATCAATATTGTTTTAAATGAAATTATGACATTAATAGATTAATATGATTTTATTGATAATGTTATATGGGAGTTGCGACTCGTCAATTGATAATTAAATGTGAACGCGAACTGATTTGAAATATGATTAACGCAGTGAACGAAGTAAGTTGACACGGCACGATACAACTTGTATGCTGAGTGTAGCCAATGCTATACATTTTAAGCATACATTTGGATTCTGTATTAAAATCTTCAGCTAAATAAATCAAGCTCAGTTTTACTTCTAGTTGTTTGAAGGTTATTTCCTTTATACATGTATGCATTTACAAAAAAAAAGTATGTAAGTATTTTATCAGTCAATCGAGCTTTCATTAGCTCTGCTTAAAATGAAACTAGATGGCGTCGTGTGTCAGTTCCGAAAATATTATTATAGTAGTGCTTACCTAAGTGTGGTGCTCCTAAAGTCTGTTCAAACAGGCACTCTGTAAGTTTGAATCGTTCAGGACCGAAATCTTGGTGATATCCTCCAGGGAACTCATAGTGGGACATAGGAGCTGCTGCCGCTTGCCGCTCTTCGTATGGACTTTCTGATACCTACACAGGAATTAATGGTGAGTGTCACTTATAACAATAATGGTTTTTGTTCTCGCAAAAACGCCTTGTTAAAAACTAATAGCAATGATAAAAAAATGTGTGATTATTATTTTTTATTTTATCCTATCTACCTAAATTTTCAATTTGAAATTATATTAGGCACAGTAACGGAAGCTCGTCGTATTTAAAAAAATCCCTATAATATCTAGATCAATCTGAAGCATGGTCCTTCGAGCCGGATGTGAAGCATATTTACAACAATTTTCACCATTTGCGTTTTTATTAAAGAAGAGATTTAGAAGACCTCTAGAATCAGATTCAACACCCGGATGTGGCCAATTCATACTTAGTTAAGTAACTGATATTGATTAACCCCTGGACTACAGCATCAGACCACTATATACCAAGTACCATCGACCACTGTATTAATCAAAACCTCACCTGCGCCACACAATGACAGAAATCCTCGTACTGCCTCCTTAACATGTACTGCTGCCAGGAGTGTGTCAATCCTGCAGGTAATGTTTTCAGTGTGTAACGACCTCTCTCCCTTTCCCTTATTACTTCTTTACTCTGAAAACATGCAATAAGTTTAGTAAATTCGAGTCCTGCTGATTCTGAATCGCGCAATTAAAGTTCTCTCGTTGATTTCTATATGTACAATACTCAAATGAGATATCAGTAGGCCCCTAACGGTGGTTAGTGTCTTTCCTATTTACTGCAAGCTTTAAAAGAAGTAACCCATTTTAAGTGTCACATATAATTAGAATAGAATAATCTTTATTGAACCAATTCAAGATATTATACATACAATGGTATTCAAAGTTGAGTACAAATGGCGGTCATTTCGTTTAAAATCAATCTCTTACAGGCAACCTTTGGATGGACAAATAGACTGTAAATAGGTAATTTCAATATGTAATTTTTCTTTGTCTAACTTAATTTAGATAAAATCTGTGAATTTTAAAGAAAACAGCGCAGCGACTGATAAGGACGCGGATGTTCGGTTTAACCCTTGATAAAGGTCCATTATAATCGAGTTAGAAAATAGCCGGGAATCCCCGAAATGTGAATAAATTCATATATACTATACTAGCGACCCACCCCGTCTTCGGACGGGTGCAATGTATTATACATATAAACGTTTTGAATTACTCTCTCTATTGAAATCAGTATTAAAATCCGTTGCGTAGTTTGAAAAATCTAAGCGTACAAGAACGGTAAGAGACTTCATTTTATACATCGTATAAAATAATAAATAAATAATATTGTACCACATTCACACAACGCCATCTAGTCCCAAACTAAGCAGAGCTTGTACTATGGGTACTAAACAACTGATATAAATACATATATACTTTTTTTTTTCTAAATACATACTTATTATACATAGAAACACCCAGACCAAATCAAACATTAAATGTTCATGCACACAAATATTTGACTTGAGCGGGAATCGAACCCGCGACCTCTGGAATAGCAGTCCGTTACGCAAACCACTACGCCATTCGGTCGTCCAATAATAAAAAATAAAATGAAGTCTTTTACCGTTCTTGTACGCAAAGCAAAATACTAACTTGTATACTATAAATAGGTAACATTTGTATGTGCATATTAGTAAGCATGTGTTTAGCTTGAGCTGCAAGGTGATCACCACCAACTGGAGACCGAACTGCTGCGTTTACTAGGGCATACCTGAAAACAAAGAAGAATTTTAGGTGATAAATCTGGTGGGTAACAGTAACAATCATTTAATAATTAGGGTAAATTGTAAAATATTTTGGGCCGGTAGAGTAGAATAGACTTTGGGGTAAGATAGAATAGATTCTAAGGGTAAAATGTAACAGATTCTGGGGTAAAATGTAACAGATTCTAGGGTAAAATGTAACAGATTCTAGGGTAAAATGTAATAGATTCTGGAGAGAAATGAAATATTCTGGGGTTTACCCCAGTATATTTTAATGTAATAGATTCTGTGGTAAAATGTAACAGAATCTAGGGTTAATTATAATAGATTCTGCGATAAAATTTATTACATGTCTACACAATCTATTCCAGTCTGGGTTAAAATATATGGGGTAATAGATTTTGAAGATAAAATAGAGTAGAATAGAAATAGAATAGTCGGTCTGCTTCAGAAGATTTTAGCATAGAAAGTTACTGATGTTGTTTAAATATCAGTAAATGAAAAGGACTAGCTGACTCGCGCAACTTCGCCTGCCTTTTTTAAAAGGAATAAATTTTCCCCGTTTTTGCAACATTCTTCATTGGTGCTCCGCTCCTATTGGTCTTAGTAGCGTGATTATATATCCTATAGCCTTCTTCGCTAAATGGGCTATCTAACACTGAAAGAATTTTCCAAATCGGACCAGTAGTTCCTGAGATTAGAGCGTTCAAACAAACAAACAAACAAACTCTTCAGCTTTATTATATTATAGATATTGTCCTTTACAGTTACACTGACCCATCAATTACAGGCACAGCTGATGTCTGACTCGCACCAGCATCTACGACCAGGGCTGTAGATTTGCCATTGGCAAATGCTGCTAAAACTGCGCTCTTGACTAAGAAGAATGCTGGTGCTTGGTACTTCTCAAAGAGTAATTCTGCTAGTTTCTCCCTAGCTGGTCTTGTGGTCCAGACTGCTTCAGTAAAAAGAGCTGGATGATGCTCTGATGGAGAGCGGATAACCTGTAAAAGAAGGCTTTGTAAGAGAAGAATAGAAAAAGATCGAATCTATAGAAATGTCTTTAATAGTCCACTGCTGGACATAAGCCTCTCCTTAGAAATATATATATGGGGGTTGAAAGAAGTCTGATGAGAAAATTCAATCGAATTTGCCTGATATTGTAATTAGTTTCATTTTTACCATTTGATACCATTTTTATTCGGTCACACCACAGCCAGTGCAATCTAGGATCACATCAAAGATTACCTGGGTCACAGGCTGACTGTCAGTCTTTAACCTCAGCCAGTACAATCTAGCCAAAAAGTCATGGAAGTCGACAGTATGTGGTATGGTATGGTATGTACCAATTATGTGATCATATTCCAGTACATATTCATAATTATATGTCATTAAATACAAAACTTTTAAAGCTAGCATAAACTTTTATCTAGCAATCATAATGCATATATTATGCTTAATTAAATTTATGAAAATGTTAAGTTCGTTTGTGTATGTTTCAAAAATCCAAAAAAAAATTGAATATTAATATTTATTTATATTTCGACTCGACAGATACATGACTGAATCCGAGAAGGACAACTAATAGGAATCTCTCAGGATACAGGATTTTATGAGTTGTTTCGACTGCCTGCTTGTCTTTATAATAATATAGAACCCATGTTATGTACGGAACCCTAAAGAGTATTTGCCAACGTAGTATAGTAGCCGACAACAGCGGCCTTGTCGGATGTGCCGACGCAGCAGTTAAAAAAAAAGCAACCGAAAACTGAGGTAACTCACGCTGACGCAGCAAAATTTAGTATAATTAATTTAGGTCACTTTATGTGCATTCCATATTCTGACTTTGAATAGGTTTCAGTTAAATTAGTATGTAATTCCATTCAGCAATGGATAGGCAAATGTGGAGGGAACTTGAGGAGGCCTATGTCGCAAGACAACCTGACCTGGTAACTGATATCAAAAGTTAAGTTTATACATACAGAAAATAGAAATAAGTAAAGTTATTATAATATAGTTAAGTAAAGTTAGTATAGTTTTGTTTTTATTTTATTGTAATACAAATTGTGCAAGGTCTGAGTAAATAAAGGCTATTTTTATTTTTATTTATTTTTATTTTATTTAATTCCATTCTGTTTATTAAATTAAATTTGGTTTTCTTTTGAACCTCCTGCTGTAGTGTATTGTTTGGATTGTTTTGAGATCTGTTTTTATCTATTTAATGCATCACATTAATTCCTCATTTCCCAGCAATGCAACCAAAATATGCTACAGTGAAGTGTGGCAGGGGATAGCTAGTATAGTAAAAATATATATACTACCTTTGCGTAGCAATAGTCTAGCATTTTCTCAAACAGGTCCCAATTGTCAACCTGTCCATCTTTCATGTATGTGTGAACTTCCATGCCTGTGCGTGGGACGTGAAGCTCTGTGACGTCAATGTAGTGGCGGAGTTCATTGCCTGCTTTTGTACCTGATGAAGATAATAATATACCTCACACATCTTACACACCAACGTTTGATCCCAAACTAGGCAGAGCCTGTACTATGGTAACTAGACTGCTGATAAACATTCTTATACATTTTTAAATACATACATTTTATAGATAAATTACACTCAGACACAGAATGTGCTCAGAAAATGACCGTGCTCATCACACAATATTTGTCCTGGGTGGGAATCGAACCCACAACCTACGAAAAATATAGAAATATATGAAGGACAGTGTATTGGTGTTATAGGTAGAATGAAATAAAATTTAATGATATATAACAAGGCGCTTTCTAGACCTGAGTTAAGCTTAGTTTGTGGTTTGCGATGAAGAATATAAATTAACATTTACTTAGATTTGTTTAAGTTTAATAGTGTTGTTTTTATAAACATGTTTATAAGTATTAGGAATACACTTCACTTTCAGGTAAACAAATACTTAAACTTCATTATCATCACTTTTAAAAGTCTACTGCTGGACATAGGTCTCTCCTTAGAAAGGAGGATTTGGACTATGGATACCATGTTGGCCAGACAGGTTGGTAAAGAGTTTGTTTTAAGTTTCCCTTCTCTTAGCAGTGCTTTTGTCCTGCATAGTTTGCTCTCTTAGTCGACTCTCTAGTGGGTGTCATACAAACGGGATGAATAGGGGTGGTGACACTCTATATTCTTAATCCGTCGCCACATACAGCTTGAACATATTGGAAATTAAAACTGTGTACTTCTTTATTGCTAAGCCATACACATAGTGTTCACACAAAATAATTCCCAAAAATGACAACAATACTAATTTAATAAGCATTATTTTTACCTATTTTTTCTTTTCTGTATAAACTAATCTAGTATTAGCTAAGAACATACAATGATCAAACTAAAAACAAAGTAGGGATTTTACTCTTTTAAGTATAATGTAAAGTTACTATATTTATAGCAAAAGGCTACTGAATTATCTTTATCATCAAAACAAGGATCAAAACACAATTGGAGCATTAATCTCTTGACAAATGTATTATACAAAGTTCTTAAGTGTTTTGTGAATCACAGTTAAAAGTAAGCTTACCGCTTTGGGTAACATTGCCATCGGGAACCTTCTCCTCAGGTTCAGGCACATGGGTAGCTGGTCCAACACCAACCACGGCAGGAATATCAGCTTTTGGAGTATCTTCCTGAGCATAACCAACACGTAAGGAATGATGACCAGGATCAAATACTAAAGCACCAATTTCATCACCACCGTACAGCATGCCGTTAGGACCACTCATTTTTGCGATTTTAATTTACTTTTCAGGTGTTTGTTTCTGTAATAGGAAACTATAATATTTCGGCGCGCTACGTTTGTTGACCGTAAACTAATGTTGCCGATTGATACGTTTTATTTTATCTGTGGTTTATTATGTCTAGGATGCGTTCTCGCCGGAAATGTTGTTTATTTAAAGCATTAAAGAGTGACAGAAAGAGATGGCTAACGCGTAACTTCATAAGTCCGCATTAGAAAGCGCTTACGCTATGTTTAAAATATGAAATGTTTTGATGGTCTTAATGCAATTCAATCGCTATTATCAGCCTGTGTAACGAAACGTACAATGAGCTAATAGTTAAACTAGTAACTGCAAGAAGCGGTGCGTTAGGAGGGCTCACGAAGTTCTCGCTATTGATTACATACTAATTGTTCAGTATTTATTATTGCTTAAAATCCGACGTAAAACATCGATACTAATTCTTTAGTTCTCCTACAGATGGCGTTAGTTTTGGACGTTGATGGACTATAGACATGAATTGAAATTACCATGCCATAGCCCAAACCTGAAAGTGTGACAGTTTCTCAGTTAAAAGTACCACCAAAATGTAAAGATTGTGGGATAGTGTTAGGGCTTGCTTCGATCACCCTGATTATTTTATTACTTTTATCAGAAGTTTATACACTAAGTTACGGAACGTAACGGAAGTAATACGGAAGTAAGGAGAGCTATACTATGCCATAAATGAGCGAACTCGATCAAAGTAATACCATGGCTTTACAGAAAACCGGTGTTAAGTCATTCCTTTCTAAGTTGTCAACGAGTGATTGCGGTTCCCATAAAGATATAGATATTTCCCTCTATCTCTCTCTAGTCAAGCTCTGTGATTGGCTGTTGTAATTTCTAATCTACCACCCGTTCTACATTAAAGACCATGCCTACTTCAGCTAAACAGAGACAGAGGGACCTATTGGCATCCGTTGCCTTCTACTTACTGGCAGCTGTACCCCGTGTTCTCTCTATGCTCATATATCTATGTGCTACGGTGCGCCATATTTATTTAGAAAGGGTTACTGAGAATTTTCTTACCTGATTAATAAATAGTTAGCATATACGTATAAATAGTAAAACAAACATGACATTACAATAATTTATTACAACACAAAATTTAACGTTATGCGAATAAAGAACTCTTTATTTAAACACCGATGAACAATATTGCCGCTAAGATATTACGCATAAATCTGATTTTATTAAATAATTACATCTTATTGATATTTCCTGTAAAAATAAAAAAATAAAATATAATCAAAAAGTTTGGATTTTAAATTATGTATCTTGAAATAAACAATAATAAAAATTAGGCCAAACACATTATTTGGGTAAAAAAGTGACAACACATAACTCTGCAAAGTCACTTTTGTTTATAAGTGACCTTGCAGAGTTAATTATTTTGCAGAGTAAGTGTTAAAAACATTTATATGTATACTAATATGTTAAATAAGTATTAGTTTAAACAAATATTTAGGAATTTCATTCACATACTATACGCATTTGCTAAAATATATCTACATGGTAAAGGAAAATCCACATATTGATTGTAAGGAGTTGTAGGAACCATACCTAACATCATAACGTTAACATCATAAGTACATCTATATACTTGGTACAACAAATTATATTGACGTAGCTCGATATTAAGTTACAATTTTTATAATTTTATTGAAGAAACCTCCTTTCTAATGAGAGGCATATGTCCAGCAGTGGAGTATTAAAGGCTGTTGATGTGATGTGCGTGTGTGTGTTTTAAGAAAAATAGAATACGCTCATAACTCGTTAATAAGTCATCATGCCGTATTATTTTATTACAACAATCGTTGTACCTACCCATTTTCGCAATTAAGTATTCTGAATTTGGAGCGTGTTTTGTTTTTCAAAATAAAAGTCTAAATTATAATAATAATATTAGGCATCCGGTAGTGAGTTTGTTTTGTGGAAATCGGTTCACTCTTATAGGATATAACTCGCGCACACACAAATACACACCCACACACAAATACATACCCATACACACGCACATTGCGAAGGTTCATTCATATTATTGGTGATGTTTTTAGAATGGCTTACTTAGTTAAGGTTCTTTGATTAACACAAATTCATTATGAACATTGTAAGAAAGGATTAGATAAATGATATAAAAATTGTATTGTAATGTATATTTGTGTCATTGGAAGGTTGCTGGTACTTATAGCTCAGGTATTAACTATTTTAAGTGCCAGCCGAACATGTTTTGGAATGTAAAATGTGCATACCTATATAATTGTCAAAAGAGTAAGTAAATATTGTAAAAGAATAAATAAATAAAGAATAATAAAGCTGACACTAACAGACCAAAAATGACAGTTTATTTTTTCGTCTGTTTGTCTGCTTGTTAGTCTCTTTCGTTTAATCTGGTTTAAAACATTGTGTATTTCCAATGAAATACACAATGTTTTAGACGAGATTAAACGAACTGCAATCAGTGAAAGCAGAAATATAATATAACTACTAAATTTGGAAGGTGTCTGCTATATATTGTATTAATATCGAGCCACTTCATTGCAAAACACACAGTATAATTATACAATTCCTAATAAATTATATTATTTTGCTATTAAATACGTATAGTTCACATATACGACGTTTAAAACAAAAACAAGAGTACGGTGTCATTAGTTTTAATAAGTCATTATTGTGTAATCAAGGGAACAGAAGGAAGATCATCTCCTGACCTGTACAACTTACATACGTACTGAACAAAATACTTTAGAGACCGAAATTTTCAAGAAAAAAATAGGAAACACTGAGTGTAAAGGACAATAGTTTTATATTAAAATGACTGAGTGAAATATAAAAAATTAAAAAGGTTCTTAGACCTCTTAATGAGACTTGAAATCGAATAGTTGTTTATTTACAAAGTTTATATGTAAAAATACATTTCTTTACAAACTCTTTGGTACACGCATTCATTATTCGAACATTCTGTAAAGTTTTAGGTGCAAAGATATTTTGTTATAAATTTTTAAAGTCAAACGTACAAAATACCGTGTTAAAGTGATTGTAGTATTGTAGTGTATACATTTCTATATTGATAATCGACATAATACATGCATTTTCTTTGCTTGAATATTAAACATCTGTTGCTAATGAGTCTGAAAAAAATCTGCAAGGATTAAAAAGGCGGATTCAAACAGTATTTAAATTATGTAAGGTAATTGGACTAATAGAAATTGTTCATGACCATCTTATTTCTATTATAAATGCGAAAGTTTGAATTGATGTTGGTTAATACTTTACGCTAGAAAGATTGGATTACATTTGGGACTAACATAGATGTCTGGAACAGCCAATTTTTCCTGGATTAAATACATTTAATTCAATTTTGCCAGGATTAAATGAAGCCATATAGGCTACAGACTATACTATATAGGGGCACTTATAACATAGGTAATGAGGCGATTCAAAGTTATAAAAAGCCAATTGTCACGTAGTACGCGGTACACTAGTTGTGCATCATTTGTTTGTTATAAAATTGATGTGTTGTGAATAAACGGTATAAGAATTAGGTACCACGTTTCGTTTATCACCAACTACTAAAACTACATACATACCACAGGCTACATTTAATCCTGGAAATAACAGGTAAATATAACAGTAACAAATACTTTTAACGCAAAATACTAAGTACGCGAGAAGTCGAGTTTTATTGCTAAACGCGACTACATTAATTTTATTTCATACTACAGTGCTTTTGGCTGATTGTATGTAGTACGTGTTACTATATTTTAATGCTGAAAAAAATGAGGCTAAATAATATTACCAGGATATCACATGTGCAGGTGAAATAAAAAATACAGTTTTGCAATATCAAATTTCATACGCGACACATCTAACACTATATATGATACACTTCAGTCTTACACGGATTCATTAAAGAGGCCATTAATCAAATCGCTTGAAGATACTAATTACTTTAGGTGACCTATTAATAAATATCATACAGGGGGAAATTCATTTAAATGTATTGAGTACAACATTAGTAAGTACAACATTATGGCAGTACACGTACGAAAATAAGAAACTTACTTTGGTAGGCTTAGAGGTTTAAATTTTATATATTTAAAACAAATATTAAAAAGTATTAATGGCTACAACCTATGTTTAATAATAGTTAACACTATTTTTGTTAAAATCATTGGCAGTTAAAATAGTAATAAACCTCATGCACCTTAGTAATCACCCATTAAAATTTATTTTTTTATTTAATTGATAAGAAAAATTAGAAAGGTGCAGAAAAAGATATAAATCTTTTACTTTCTGCTTCTTTTGTCGTCGATCTATCAGTTAAAACGTAATCGTCCGTAATTCTGTCGAAATTTAAAGCACGGTGCCTTCAAACGAAACTATAAAATAAAACAGGGCAGTTCGAGTTTCAAACAGATATTGGCATATTGTTATCGTAGAGCAGATTCGAAAGTGTTCAGTTATTGATGGCTATGAAAACATTTATTTAAAATAAATTGTCATATGCTTAATAACCTAAAAGCCTCAATATAATAATTGATTCTTGTACATTTTGCGTATAAATATGCTTAATATCTACCAGTTTCTTACGAAGAACACAAACATATTTCTAATACACCAATTTGAATTTCCCAAACATGATATCTAAGTATATATATATATTTATATAAGGTACATTTAAGTATATAAGTACACATAACTAAATTGACTAAACATTGATTTATTACAAGCTACAAAAAGGCTCTGGGCCATCACAAATACCACAGATTAGTAAAAATTCCTCTAATACAGTTATATACATGTAGATAAAACTATGGTCATATTTATTTGTGGATAATAATATTAATATAGATTTTTGAATTACTTTGTAAGAAAATGTCATATTAAATTTTAAATAACGCAGATGTAAACCTATGCAGTTGTATTTATTGTAAACGATTAGTAAAGTGTAATTAATTAAATAACCCTACTAAAATTTACGTACTTATTAATATATAAAGGTGAAAAATTAATAGTTGAATAGTATATTAAAACTGCCGGTTTTTTTTAAAGTATCGATACAAAGCACAGTATTTAAAAAATTGTCTATCCAAAATCCTCTCATAATTACAACTGCAGAGTTTTATTTTAACGTAACAAAAATACATCTCGGCAATACACTACAACTAAAAAGGCAGATGATTCTCTCTAAATTTCATTAGTTTAAAGTTTTTATAAAGTGTACATAGAATTACACAGGTACAAATGGCTGCAGAGTTGTTTCCTCGACAAAATATATATTGTGTTTTATACTCAAAAATAGTCCTGGATTTTTTAAAAACTGGTACATAAATTCCATTTTATAAAATAATAAAAAAATGCAGAGATTCATAAGTGACCTTGCAGATAATTATAAAGAATTCTGGCCTGATTTTAGCCGATTGCAAACAGGCAAGAGTGGTATTAGAATTGAGTTTTTTTGTCTGAATATCTTTTTTACGATTTTTGGCATTTAATATCATTTTGTTTGTCTCTTTCTTTGTGCATTAGGGTTTTTATTTAAAGAGATTTTCTTATATAATAAAGGCAGTTTGTTTTTTGGGGTTTTTTTAGATGACGCTTTGAGAAGCACTGTTGTAGTGGATATGACTCATATTTTGTATGTTTAGACGTTTATAACTTTTTTTTTTACCATTTATATAAGTGCGTATAAACATTTTAAGGTGGTATCAATAACTGGAAAATTTCTGTATAATTCATGTACGTTCATTGCATAGCTCGAAGGAAGAGTGATACTTATGTGCATGGCTCGAAGGACCATTCTTAGCTGTGTAGATAAGGTCTTTCGTTTTTGAAGGGTAATTGTTTTTTTTTGAGGCCGCTTTTAGTAATTGTTTTATCAATAGCTGGTAAATTTCATGTACAGTCATTGCATGGTTCGAAGGAAAAATAGTATGACGTGCACGGTTCGAAGGACCATTATTAATTGGTATACCAAGTTAAAATACTGAAATAATTTATTTAAGGTATTTTTTATTGTCAGTGGTAACTACAAATTATTATGTGGAAGTCGTATTTTACGGATACATCTTCTCTTAGAAAATTAGAATACTGTATATCTCTTTAAAACTAAAAAAAGGTAAATAGGTTTTTAAATAATTGTTTTTTTCAGTATTGCCATTCACTGCACCTGACATCCTACACTGATTGCGCTGAAGAGAGGCGCCGCTCCCAAACCCCCATCACCGTCAGTGACTCCACAAAGGTACTTCGCCCTGGTACAATCATCGCAGGTACAGCTGTCTTTGAGGGTGCAAAGGCCCCTAGCTGTGGCTATGGCCTCCCATTTTATCTGCTCATCTAGTGTGCCACTTCTGCTCAGAAGATGCTGAAAATAAGAGTTTTAAATATTTTCAATGGTAACGTATGCAACTGCTGCGACATATGTAACTCATCTATAACATGTCAATATTTAGTAAGAATTTTAGGTGTATTCATTTAGAAACTTGACAAATTATTGCTACTTTTAAATCATAATCATATGATGAAATAGTAAGTTTTAGTCACAGCGATTTCACCTGTGATTGTGATATATTAATCGACAAAGATCATCAATCATAATCATCATCATCAACAGCCTGTAATAGTCCACTGCTGGACATAGGCCTCTCCTTAGAAAGGAGGTTTTGGCCTACTATACCACGCTTCCCAGACGGGTTGATATAGGGGTTGTGTCAAGTTTGCCTTCTTTTTGCAGTGCTGGTGTCCTGCGTTGTTTTGCGCCCTTAGTCGGCTCTTACGACACCCACGAGATGAATTGGGGTAGTGACATTCCGTATTCTTATATATAAAGATAAATACCATCAAAATCATTTTTTTTTAAAATAAAACTTTACATTCACGATATCAATCATATGATTTATCACAGTAACCTACGTGCGCGGTTGACGTCTAAAGGCGTGCGAAATATTACATAATTGGGACTAAAATTATAGTCATCAAAATGTGGGCGTTACATACAGCTCTGTCCTACCCTTACGGGGCTAGAATACGTGAGTGTATGTGTGTACGTATTTTCTAGAAAACAATATGATAATTTTTTGGAAAGTTCGTTTTTTGTTATGCACAAGCTATCTACATTAATGCTAATATTTTGTGGCCGTGGTGCTTCCCTGTTTAAAAGAGTGTATGCCTATTTTACTTCATTTTGTCTTCCGTTTTGCTAAGGAGGGAAGTGGATTTACTGTATTACCAACTCCTCCAATTTTCTTCTGATTAATTTCCTTGCTCGTTCCAAGACAGTTTAATTTCTTTCTGGGACTTCCCTAGTGTCATAACTCGGTGTGTTTGTGGGTCACTGCTGTGGATCCTGGTGTACAGGCGTTACAGTGGTGGGCGTGTGGGTGGGATTAGTCCCATTTTTTAAGCTATCTACACTTAAATGCAGGTACGTTACCTGCATTACTTCCATATTACTCGCTTGCCACATATCCAAGTCCCTCAACTGCTTCTCTTCTTTTCTAGTTCTCTTATTCTTCTTGAGGGTTCCGCAGTAGACGGATAGGTCTTCGCTCGGTGCGATAGACGTTTCATCGAACTGTAAGGACATTGCATCACACGAAGTAGCTCCGTCGTCGTGATCTTCTGTAACTGTGTGGTCTTCTGGGTCTGAGATGAGGGTTGAAAGTGAGGTTGCGTCTGTCGACGTTTGGTTTTGTAGGGGTTGGTAGTTTATCTGTTGGGAGAGGGTTAGTTATTAATTTGTGTGTTTTTTATGTTGTTTAACGCGCAGATGTGTCACCTCATGGAAAGCGACTACCGCCGTCCATGAACGCCTGCAAATCAGAAGTCACAAGCACGTTGCCAGCCTTTGAGGAAGGAGTAGGCTGTTTTTGTGTAGGTTTGTAGTTCCTATTTGACGGCCAAATGGCGTATGTAGTGGTTTGTGTCACAGGCTATAACGACAAAGGTCGCAGGTTCGATTCCCGCTCAAGTCAAAAATGTATGTGCATGAACATTAAATGTTTGATTAGGCCTAAGCGTTTCATTTTTTGCCTGTGACTTCGTCTACATGGCGGTCATTATTTTAGATACTGATACTGAGAGTTTGGATTCGATAAGTTACATAACAAATTGTTTAATTTGAAACCCCCATTCCGCAAACTTAGGGGTGGAATTCTTACGACCTCCGTCCTCCATAAGCGCAGGCCTGAGGGTGACAGGTGAGGCCATCTGTCACCCTAGCAGAAGCAGGCCGGGGTGGCGGCGAGCGCGTTGCGAAGCGCGCTCGCTTCCAGGGAGCACAGGGAACATGGGGTTCCCACACGGGGAGGGGTCATCTACTCGTCTGTAGATGACCCGAGGTATGTGGGGGCACCAGGGACTTCCTTTCTAGGGTATACCTGGTTCCCCGGCTATTAGTACCCGGCGACTGCGTGCGGTTTTAGTCGGTTCGAGTCCGACATGCCACCGACAGGTGGTATCCGAGGGGATTTCCGCACGGAAAAAAAAAAAAAAAAAAGGGGGTGGAATTCTTAAGAAAATCTTTCTTCACACCTACGTCACCTAAGGAACATTTGTGCAAAATTTGATGCTTCCACGAGTAGTAGGTTTCAGCTGTGCGTTGGTCGATCAGTCAGTGAATCAGTCTGTCAGGGCAAGCGAGCAGACGGGTCACCTGATGGAAAGCGACTACCGCCGCCCATGAACCCTACAACTCAGGAGTCACAAGCGCGTTATCTTCTTTTATAGATGCATATATATACTTATGTATTTATAAAAAAGAGTATATGTGTATTTATATCAGTTGTCTGGTATCCATAGTACAAGCTCTGCTCAGTTTGGGACTGTGTATGTATAGTTAAACCGCCGTAAGCTTGGCCCTCCTGATGGTTTGGGGGACGCGGGGCGGGGGTGCATTCAACCAATTAGCTAGTGCGTCGCTGTCCGCCGGCAGTGACTGACGTGAAAGCATGGCTGTGCGTGTTATTTTTCTTAAGACTGCTACACACGGTATTATTTTGCAACATGGATAATCTGCCGACTCTGCGTCACAAAAAGATTTAAAAACTTGAAGTTCGGCTTACAGAGGTTCTACTGTTAAAGTTCTAATAAAGAATATTTATGATTTTACTTAATTTTTTTAATTGTATCTGGATATAATTTACATGATGAAGATAAGGTGATTTTATTAAAATTGTTTTACAGTATTAAATTTTACAATTAATCATAAAAACTTACAATACACTAACATTATAATACATGCAAATAAATACGATTTTTATTACATCGTGTGTAGATTAAATCTCAAACAAATAAATCTGAAGATATCGAGTTAGTACATCGTGTCATGTATAGCCGAGCGCATCACCCGCCCCGCGTCCCGCAAACCATCAGGAGGGCCAAGCTTACGGCGGTTTAACTATAGTAGAAAATTATATTATACCTATTATTATTTAGGTTGGCAATACAGGAGGCGATAATTAGTATTACAGATTGGCGGTTTAATATATTTTTATATTATATTTATGTTATTTTATTATATTTAAAAAGGTTTTCCCACAGCTAGTGTATGCAAAATACATATTATTATTTTTTATAAGACAACTCCCGCATTAGGAATATATCCTGTGTCGCGGGGGACTTTACAAACATACATGAAACGGCCAAAAAGAACACCCAGACTCAGAACAACGATTTGTGGATCACACAGTGTCGTCCCATGTAGGGTTTGAACCCACAACACTCGGCGCAGTAGGAAGCGGTGTGGCGACCGCTTAAACCACTGCGCCATCCGTGCAGTCATATATGTATATTAAGTTGTATAATTGTAGTAAGGCCTTACACACTTGCCAATTACGGGCTTAGCATCTTTTTTTTTTCACATCTCACACACGGCCGTTTGATCCCAAACTAGTCAAAGCCTGTACTATGGTAACCAGACTGCTGATAAACATACTTATATATTTATAAATACATACATTTTATAGATAAATTTAACCCAGACACAGAACAAATGACCGTGCCCATCACATAATTATTTGTCCTGGGTGGGAATCGAACCCACGACCTCCGATTTAGCAGTCAGGGTTACTAACCACTAGACCAACAGGCCCGTCTAATCGCTAGATTGTTACACATTTAAATCGTAGTTAATAATATCCTTTTATAATTGTTATTACCAGTGCATCTTCAACTCTGCTGCATTCGCTGAGACGGCGTGTTGGAGTTGCGTGTTGTGAAATATTATCCTAGAAGAATAAAGGTTTATAATGTAACTACTATGAGTAAATTATGCAGATGCTACCAGATGGCATTGTTTATCGGGTTCATCAACAGCCTTTAACAGACCACTGCTGGACATAAGCCTCTCCTTAGAAAGGAGGTTTATCGGGTTGGTAGTTTAGGGTTTTCGTCAAGTTTTCCTTCTTTTTGCAGTGCTGTTTTCCTGAGTAGTTTGCTCCCTTAGTCGACCCTTACGACACCCACGGGATGTATAGGGGTGGTGACACTCCGTATTCTTAATCCGTCACTACACATTGTGCCTATATAAAACTAATGAATGACGTGTTTTTGTAAAGTACCTTGTATCCGTGTATGTTTTATGTAGCAAAAATAAATGGTTAAAATGGTTTATTTCTGAAGTTGAAGTTATAACTTACGATTTGATGTTGTTTTTTCTCTTAATTGTCTTTTTAACTTTTGGTCGTTAAACTTACATACTGACACACATCAATTCAAATTCAAATTATTTATTCAAAACAATGTTGTGTATATTTAATGATGCCATTCTGTGTATCTGTTAATTTAAAAAAAGTGGTCATGAGTTTGTTTACCCTTTCTTCTCATGAGGCTCAACTCCTTGGAAATTTGCGGTTGTAGAACGGTAGGTACCTACAGGCATAAGTATAAGAGATTTTCTATACGTATATATTTAGTTTGCTGAATATTTTTCAAAACAGAGATTGTTGCTATTGTGTGTGTTGATCTATGACTTTAGAGTCTACACAAGAGACGATTTTATTTTTATGAAATAAAGATATGTTGAGTTTCAGTTTGAATTATTATTATTATTGCCTGGAAGAAATTGCATTTAGCAATAAGGCCGCCCTTTGTACACTCGATATTTGATCGTTGTGTTCCTTTCTTGAAACTCTGTAATTTAGTGTGCAAATAAAGAGTTATCTATCTATCTATCTATCTATTATTTTAAAGTAGTGTAGCACGCCCACAGGCCAGGTGGAGTGACGATTTGCGCAAGATGGCTTGCAGGGGCTGGATGCGAGAAGCCCAAAATCGATCTAAGTGGCGTGCAATGGAAGAGGCCTATGTCCAGCAGTTATAATGTACAAGGTGTACCCTGCCACGCTTTGCTGTGGCACTTTGTAGTTTTATTGATAAGAAATAAGGTACAAAACTAACTTGTAAAATAGATAAAAACAATCTTTGAAGCGGCTTGTATATTATGTCAAAATCTGAGCTCAATCGGTGCAGAAGTTTTTGAGTTTTTGTGAACCCTACACACTTAACATTTTTATATACATGTAAGTGTACATTTAAATAAACAATACAGTTAATTCCACTTACGTCGTCGTCACTGTACAGCTGTAGAACTGCCATGTCTGCGAAAGGCTCATCTTCTGTTTGTGGTATCTCCTTGCTCGTTGAAGGTATTGGCGATGGTGGGGTAGCCACTGAAACAAACAGTACGGATTTAATTAGTCGCCTGCGGTACCGGGCCTGGCGGGCCGGGAGAGTCCTAAAATTCTCCCGGTCCCGCTCCGCCGTCTCCTTCGCGAGCATAACTTGCTCGCAGAAGGAGACGGCAGAGTTCCACGCACTCTCGCTCCGCACGATAGCCGCAATCAGGCTATCGAGCGAGAGAACTCCCACTCCGATGGCCGAAGAATAAATGTGAAGAGTTGGAAATAAACAGGAGTATGTGCTGCTTCCATCAAAAACCACCCAGACGTCAGGCGCCATACCCTTTTTTTTTTTTTTTTTTTTTTTCGTGCGAAAATCCCCTCGGATACCACCTGTCGGTGGCATGTCGGACACGAACCGACTAAAACCGCACGCCGTCGCAGGGTACTAATAGCCGGGGAACCAGGTATACCCTAGAAAGGAAGTCCCTGGTGCCCCGACATACCTCGGGTCATCTACAGACGAGTAGACGAATCCCCCCCCTCGTGTGGGAACCCCATGTTCCCTGTGCTCCCTGGAAGCGAGCGCGCTTCGCAACGCGCTCGCCGCCACCCCGGCCTGCTTCTGCTAGGGTGACAGATGGCCTCACCTGTCACCCCCAGGCCTGTGCTTATGGAGGACGGAGGTCGTTCTGCAACTTCCGGCGCCTGAGTCGCCTGCGGTGCCTGGCCCGTTCCCGGGCCTGGCGGGCCGGGAGAGTCCTAAACCTCTCCCGGTCCCGCTCCGCCGTCTCCTTCGCGAGCATAACTTGCTCGCAGAAGGAGACGGCAGAGTTCCACGCACTCTCGCTCCGCACGATAGCCGCAATCAGGCTATCGAGCGAGAGAACTCCCACTCCGATGGCCGCTACGAGGTCTCCCCTTTGCTCAACCCACGCCGGGCACTCTGCCAGCGTGTGGAGAGCCGTGTCCACGGTCTGGCCATCGCAGTGGTGGCACTCAGGCGTTGGCTCCTTGCGGATCAGACACAGGTGATCCCCGAAACATCCCTTCCCAGTGATCACCTGCGTCAATCGGTATGAGAGGGTCCCGTGACGCCTCTCGAGCCAATCCTCCATAACGGGTCTTACCGCCGCGATGACGGCGTGCCCGAGGCGCCATACCCTGCGGAAGTCCTAACTACCCCAGCTACCCCCGTGATAGGGTCACGGGGGAAGTTGCGCTGTATCTGTATTTGATAATTGATGTAGAAGAAATGAATTGGTTTCTAACTTTCACCAATGGAAAGTTACATTATCAGCGAGTAACATAGGTTACCTTTTATCGCGAAAACCGACAAATACGTGGGCGGAGCTACGGGCAAATGCTAATAATATATTAATATGTTTACGGGAATTAACGCGCTCACGGTAGGTATTAAGTACATACCTTTACAATGCCTGAAGTTTCGACCAGGTTGCACTGGCTGTGGTGACAGGCTAACTGTGACCACGGCCAGTAATTTCCGTAAACATAATTATAAATTAACTGGCTTTTGTGCACGGCTTCGCTCGCGTAAATGTCAATTTGTCGATAAATTTGACCGGGATGGATAGTAGCCGTTGTGCTATTCTAAACTATAGTCTATCTTTGTGCCAAATCTCATCCAGATCTGGCAATCTGTATTGGCGTGATTGAGTAACAAACGTACTTTTTAAAAGTTAAAAAAATAGTTGTCTAATTATTATAATTTTTGATGGAGAATATAATTGTACTGAGAGTTTGGAATCGATAAGTTACATAACAAATTGTTCAATTTGTAACCCCCATTCTGCAACCTTAGGGGTGGAATTCTTAAAAAAATCTTTCTTGTTGCACACCTACGTCACCGAAGGAACATTTGTGCAAAATTTCATGGTTCTAGTTCTCCATACACATTTGCACCCCTTTTTAAGGGTAGTATTGAATAATTAGTAACAACATTTTTATTACTTACAAGAAAGAGTATTCACTGTGAGTTTTAAAACGCTACTACCAAATATAACGAAGTTTCATATGAATTTACAACCCCCATTTTGCACCCTTAGGGGTGGAATTATTAAAAATCCTTTCTTAGTGCACACCGTCGTCCCTTAAGGAAAATATGTGCAAAATTTCATACTTCTAGACCCAGCGGTTTGAGCTGTGCGTTGATCTATCAGTCAGTGAATCAGTCTGTCAATTTCTTCTATTATAGATATATAACTAGCTGAGACCCGCGGTGTTACCCTCGTTTGTTGTTATACGAGGGGTGATCAATAAGTAATGATAATCGAGTATTTCTAGAACGCATAAAAACCCAAATTATTTTTTTTCTGCTTGCTTATATATCCACTACTTCAGCTTCAAAAAAATGTATAAATAGGACACCATTACCGGGAGATACATTCATTTGAATACGAACTGTCGAAGAGAAAACATCAAAATGGAGAAAAATGAAATAAGAGCTGTCATCAAGTACCTCTGCCTGAAAAAAATGTCTACCAAAGACATACACAGCGACTTATAGGAAACATTGGGGGAGTCTGCTCCTCCATATTCCACAGTCGCACGCTGGGCAAAGGAATTTAAGCTGGGCAGAACCTCCACTGAAGATGAACATCACGAGGGACGCCCTTCCACGTCCCTTACTGGAGAAAACGTCAAAAAAGTGGAAGATATCGTGTTGGCCGATCGAAGGGTGACCGTAAGGCATGTAGCTGAGGTCACAGGGATCTCCTATGGCAGCGTTCAAAAAATCATTGTCAACAAAATGCATATGAAAAAGGTCTCTGCGCGTTGGGTACCGAGAATGTTAACCGACGAGCAAAAAAAGAAACGAGTCGACATTTCGAGGGTGAATCTTCAAAAGTTCCAGGCCGATAAAGAATTTTTTTTGTAGCGTTTTGTGACCATGGACGAGACCTGGATCCACCACTTTGATCAGGAAACCGAACAACAATCAATGACTTGGAAACGAGCTTCCTCACCAACGCCGAAGAAATTCAAAGTGTCAAGTTCAGCGGGAAAGGTTATGGCGTCTGTTTTCTGGGATGCAGAAGGAATTATTATGGTGGAATATTTGGAAAAGGGGGCCACTATAACAGGCTCTTACTACGCAGGCCAAATAAGAAGATTGCAAGAAGCTATTAAGTCAAAAAGACGCGGTAAACTGCGCGCTGGAGTGCTGTTTCACCAAGACAACGCCCCGGCTCACAAAGCCGCAGTTGCGATGGCTGCCATTGAAGAAACGGGGTTCGAACTGCTCGAACACCCTCCCTATTCGCCAGATCTAGCTCCCAGTGACTTCTACCTGTTTCCTCGGCTCAAAGAACACCTCCGGGGTTAACAAATTTGAGGACAATAGTGAAGTGATGGCCGCAGTAGAGGCATTTTGGGAGGGTCAAGACAAAGAATTTTTTTCTAAGGGAATCATGGGCTTAGAAAAAAGATACACTAAATGTATTAACTTGCAAGGAGACTATGTTAAAAAATAAAATACTTTTTTTAATCTAATAGTTCTGTTTCATATTGATTATCATTACTTATTGATCACCCCTCGTAAACGCGGGCAACGCCGCGGGGCGAAGCTAATCTAAAAAAAGTAGCCTAAGTTATTCCTCATGTCATCAGCTATCTGTGAAAGTCCCGTCGAAATCGGTCCAGCCGTTCCAGAGATTACCCGGAACAAACAGACAGACAGACAGACAAAAATTGTAAAAAATGTTATTTTGGCATATGTACCGTGTCAACATACATTTGCATTTAGTAAAAAGCGGTTATTTTAATATTACAAACAGACACTCCAATTTTATTTATTTGTATAGATTAGACTTACCGTTGTCACTGCTATTGCTGCTGTGTAGCAGGTTTTCTGTCGAAGGTTGTTCCTGGTAATCTCTGCTACGAGCTTTGAACAGTCCAAATTTCACTGGTGCCATTATCTGAAAAGATTTAGAAGCAAATTGTAGACTTATATATCGCTTACATCACTGGCAGAGCCATGCTTCGGCATAAATTGGCTTGACAGGAGTAACCTCACAGAAAACCAGCAGTGATATTTTCTAAGCAAACAGCGTTGCAGACAACGCTGCCACACATGAAACTAAGTTCGTTTGAAATTCGACGCTACAGCGCTGTCACAGCGTCGAATTTCCAAGACCTCCGTCTTTCTTATTCTGGGGAGAGGGACTCAAAGGCAACGCACTTATGAAAATTGAGTAGCAGGGCCCAATGGAGGGCGGTAATCACTTACCATCCGGTGACCCATCTGGGCCCCAATTCTGCTATTTTAATATTGTATCGATGGAATGTCTTCCGAATAGTTTTGCATTTTTCGTATTCTACTAACTATGTACTGGTAATAGGCCGTTTACACCATGGTGACAAGTGTCCACAAACACGTGTAAACGGGGTGTTTGGCTCGCCTCGCGTTAGCTCGTCGTCGATCGATACTAGTGTGGGTTTTAGAACACAGAGCCGAGTGCAAGTTGATTTCACATCGACTTGCTCTCGATGGCGAGCGCGTTTAGCATTTCAATTGGTGGAGATTTCAGTGCGCGGTTACCATGACGATCGAGTTGAAAGTGAAATAAACTCGCATTTGGCCTTCAAATCAAAGGCAGCTTACGTCAAGCGTTTGCGACGTATTTACATGTTGGCGCGTGCTTGTTCTCCCGATGACTTGTCACAAAACAGCCACTGATACAAATGTCGTCGATGTCTTTGTAATAATTTGGTAAACGATATTTGTAATTAAATGACAGATTTTATTTTCCACATATGGCAATGTTGTTGATATCACCGTAGATGAGTCATTGCCACTACATCGACAGTCTATTGACTCTGTGAATTTATGTTAGTAGAATACCGAAATTGTGACCGATGTCAATGTCATCTCAATAGCGTGTCAATGGAATGACAGTAGCTTGTAGCAGAATTGAGGCCCTGCTCGTTTGCCTCCCTATACCATGAAACAATAATTATGTATTTTTAACCGAGTTCAAAAAGCATGGGGTGCTGTTTTGACTGATTATTTACGCTAATTGGCTCGCCTGCTGGTTTCATCAACAGCATTTAATAGTCGACTGCTGGACATAAGCCTCTCCTTAGAAAGGAGGTCAATTGGCTCGCCTGCTGGTTTAGTGATTTCTTTTTGAATTCGGTTAAACACTACATCAAGATATTATTATACTCGATTAATAATATTATACTCGATTAATAATATTATACTCGATAATTAACTTTTAAAAAATTACTGTCAAAATCTTAAACCTTGAGTAAGTACCTACTGACTTCTGATCCCAAACTAGGCAGTGCCTGTACTAATAGTACATTACTATACAGTACTATGGTAATCAGACTGCTGATAAACATACTTAGGTATATACTAAATACATACTATATTATAAATAAATGATCGTGCTCATCACACAACTATTTGTTCCGGGTGGCAATCGAACCCACGACCTTTGGCTTAGCTTTCAGGGTCACTAACCACTAAACCCACAGGGCAGTACTAACAGTCTCTGAGCCGCGAACAGACGGACAAACATGGCGAAACTATTACAGTTCCTCGTTAGAACTACAGAACCCTGAAAACTACGATTACAAAAGGAAATTACCTCATTCCTTAGTTGTACCAAGTGCTTCATGATTTTATTTGTTATGCTTTTAAAATACATTTTTGTTTTTTTTTACTCTTGCTTTGCCGATGTTCTTCACGTACGAACTAAACACAAAAACAGTCAGTAGAACTTTTGCCTACATATGGTATTTACTTGTACTGTACTATTACCTATCCGTGTGGTGACGGATGAAGAATACGGAGTGTCACCAGCGCTATTCATCCCGTGGTCGTCGCAAGAGCCGACTAAGGGAGCAAACTGCGCAGAACAACATTACCGCAAAGAGAAGGAAAACTTGAAGACTTGAGTGTGTACGATATATGGTTGAATATTCCGCAACTCTTGTAACGTATATGCAAAATTTCATGATGAAAGGTCAAACAGTTTATGCGTGAAAGCGTCACACACAAACAAACCGATTACAACATTAGTTAAGTATAGCCTTCAAAATCATCCTTTAATAGTCCACTGCTGGAAACAGGCTTCTCTTTAGAAATTAGGTTTCGGTCTACTATACCACGTTGGCCAGGCTGGTATAGGGTTTATGACAAAATTTTCCTTCACTTTGCGGTGCTGTTGTCCTATTTATTTTGCTTCCTTAGTCAACTTTTACGACATCCACGGGTTAATAGGGGTGGTGATACTCTGTATTCTCAATCCGTTACCATACGGAGCATTACATATTTATACACATTTATATGTTTTGACTCCGGTACTTTCCTCACAAAACCCCACAAAGATATGACATAGCAACACACACATAACCTAACAAAACTAAAAACGTCTTTATTTTCATCGACCTAGCTTTCAATACAACTATCACTTTATAATTAATGCAATTTTTATAAACTGCAAGTCAAAGAACACGTCCTTACACCGTCAAGACTTTAGGAAAACTGATTTTTTTTTTAATTTAAGCCGAGTAGTGTAGGCTCTACGATTGTTGATCCAGTGGAGTACTGAAGGCCTTAGTAGGTCGTGCCTTGTTACCAAGGCCGCCTTATCGATTCCCTTAAAGTACCACATCAAGGGGAGTGACGTGTTTTTTTATGGAGTTTCTAGTGACTTGGGGGTTTCTGAATTGTATGGGCAATGAAATGTTTGTAACGTTGATATAATTTTATGGAACTCCACCTTAACAGGGTTAGTAAGTTTTGAAGGATTTTTTTTTCTTTAAAAAGACAACTCTCGCACTAGGAATATATCCTGTGTCGCGGGGGACTTTACCAACATACATGAATCGGACACAGAGAATACCCAGACCATATTTGAAGGATTTTTTTCTTTAAAAAGACAACTCTCGCATTAGGAATAAATCATGTGTCGCGGGGGACTTTACAAACATACATGAAACGGACACAAAGAACACCCAGACTCAAAACAACAATTTGTGGATCACACAAAGTGTCGTCCCATGTGGTGATCGGACCCACAACACTCAGCGTTGTAATAAGCGGCGAGGTGACCGCTAAAACCACAACGCTACCTATCTGTGCAATGATTTGTTGGTAGTTAGTATATAGACTATATAGACCAAATGGTTAGCGATACCGGCTGCTAAGCTATAGTCCATCAACGTCGTGCGCGACCGTCCTGCGGGGTGACAGACGGTGGCGGGGACGAGGTACTCAAGATGTCAGCGGGTAGCGGGTGGTGTAGCGGGGAAGGAACACTTCTCTTCGTGTGTAGCCGTGTGCCAGAATGACGCGCTACCTCGCCCCCGCCACTGTCTGTCACCCCGCGGGACGGTCGCGCACGTGATTGCCGGGTTATAGAGGTCGGTTTCCTTTCCTACCCTCAATCCACAATTTCATACTTAAATTATAAATGTGAGTTAGTTTATAACGCTTTCAAGATTAAACCAACAATCCGATTTTAACTATTCTTTCACCAATGGAAAGCTACTTTGTCAGCGAGTAGCATAGGGTAGTTTTTACCGCGATAACCGCCATGCACGCGGGCGACCAATAATTTATATTTATCTATATCTATATCTATACAAATAAATAAAATTGGAGTGTTTGTTTGTAATATTAAAATAACCGCTTTTTACTAAATGCATATGTATGTATCCGTGTAGTGACGGATTAAGAATACAAATTGTCACCACCCCAATTCATCCCGTGGGTGTCGTAAGAGTCGACTAAGGGAGCAAACTAAGCAGGACAACAGCACTGCAAAGAGAAGGAAAACTTGAAACAAACCCTATACCAACCCGTCTGGCCATCGTGGTATAGTAGGCCAAAACCTCCTTTCTAAGGAGAGGCCTATGTCCAGCAGTGGACTAGTATAGGCTGTTGATGTGATGATGTGATATGTATGTTTACACGGTACATATGCCAAAATAACATTTTTTACATTTTTTGTCTGTCTGTCTGTCTGTCTGTCTGTTTGTTCCGGGTAATCTCTGGAACGGCTGGACCGATTTCGACGGGACTTTCACTGGCAGATAGCTGATGACATAAGGAGTAACTTAGGCTACTTTTTTTAGACTAGCTTCGCCCCGCAGCGTTGCCCGCGGTTATAACAACAACACCGCGGGTCTCAGCTAGTAATATTATAAATGTGAAAGTGTGTTTGTTTCTTTGTTTTTTACGCTTCTAGGTCTTAACCACTAAACCGATTTTAAAAGTCTGATAGTCGGTACCAGCAGGATGGTGTAAAATACGTATCTTTTAAAAAACCACAAGTTGACAAAAAAAAGTGTTTGGAGTGGATTTATTTATCACGAAGAGCAGATTTAACAGTTGAAAAAATAAAAAAAACATACTTATATTTGTACACAATACTTATCAATTCAAATGGACGAACAGCAAAAAATCCTAATCCATTGCCAGCGACAGTTTCAAAGGTGAGTAATTGTTTATTTAATGAGGTTATATTTTATATTTGTCAACATAATATCATCAATATTAATGGTCAACTCAGATTACCCCCTAAGGGGTACCTACCTACCCTACCCTTAGGGGGTAATCTGTGATGGTAAATAATCAACTAAAATTTCTCAACATTTTTCAAGTGGGACATTTTTATTACCTGACACGGTTAAGCCACGCATGCTAGGTCAGGTCATTGTCAGTGACTTAAAACATACAAGCCATCGTTTTAAGTTCCTGACAAAATGATCTTGCACATTTCCAAATTACAATTACGGCCCAGGTACATCATCTTCCGTTGATTCCATAATAAATTAATACGTGTAACGTTGTTGTCAATAGAGAATTCAAAACATAATTATGTACCAACCGGTGCTGCCTCTAGCGGATCTTTTTATAATCTTTCCAGGAAAAAGGCTAATTAAAAAAGGATTTATCAAATTGCTTCACAAATGACGGAGATCTGAGGTAACAAACAAATTAAAAAAAAGCTTTTCTATCAAAGCCCTACAGGTTGTTGTCAACTTATTTTTATACATTCAGTAATTTATCAAAAACTGGGATTAGAAGGAAGCCAATACAATGTCGTTTTTATTTCTATCTAAGTTGTGTTAAAATATTAATTTTCATGTGAAATAATGAATTTTAATGAAATAATAAACTTACCTTTAATTTGTTCTCAACTCGTAATAAATACACAAGAAAATACTGTTCTTAAAAGTCAAAAACACATTTTTTTCACTCACAACTGATATGATTCAAAGAACAAAATGTTTATTTCAAAATGTCGTCAATATAGGTACTCTCCTCAAAAATATTTTTCGAGTAGAAAATTTGTGTAAAAATAGATAGTTTATTTGGTATATGTAGTTAAAATATAGATTTTGTTTAGTAAAAAATAAAAGCGGTGCTGGCCGCTTCCTGAATCGCGATCGCGAAGGTTCTTTATAGTTGAATTTCTGTGAAACCTGTTACATACTGGAGCGGTGAAAATACTAGTTGTCTAATATTCAGTTCCATGATATTATTGAATGATATGATTAGGTACTGAAATTATTTAGTATCCTCAACAATTCTCATAGTATAATTTACATCTATACAAATAAATAAAATTGAAGTGTCTGTTTGTAGAAATAATGTTTTTTTTTCTTGCTCACACGGTTATTTGCACGGTATCTATGCCTAAAACCAGTTTCAATATTTTTTGTCTGTCTGTCTATCTGTCGTCTGTCTGTTTGTGCCGGGTAATCTTCAAAGTGGCTTGACCGATTTTGATAATATTTTACTACTAGGTAGCTGTATATATAAGGAGTAACTTAGGCTATTTTTCACAGAATAGGGGCAGTATTGTAGGTGACAAAATTTTACCTGGTCCGGTAAGTGAAACCACTAAGGCAGCACTTTTCAAATTCCACGCTGACGAAGTCCCGGGCACGAGCTAGTATAAAATAAATCAGAAAACATGTATTCGGTTTTGATTCTGCCGATTTCTAAGAAAACATTCTTCAGTTGTAGTTGCAATTTAATCCAGTAATAAAAGCCAAGATTTTTGATATGTCTAGATAGACTGTCAATGCTGTGAAAGTGTAAAAAAATGGTTTCTTATAGTTGGCCTCTAAGTTCTAATCTGTTGTCGTTGTGAGTGTGTCAGCTGCGTTGTCATTGTGACGCGTAAAACGTAGCTGTCACACAATAGCAACATAATAACGTTGGCTTGTTAGTTTTAGTTATATTGTACTGTATTACATCTAATTAGATAGAAATAAATTAATTTGTCCCACGTTGGGCGCCATTAGCAAGTTATTCAACATAATTTTTGCAATTGTTTTACATTGTTTTAAATATTCAATTTTGATATTAATACTTTAAGACGCTGTATTCGAATACTACGAAATCACTACTTTAAAATAACTGTTCCGATCGTGCAACTAAAAAGAGCCTGCCGCCATTACACGACAACATCGCAGTTGCGCGCGCATTCTGTTTATAATCCACTTAGTTTCGATTTGTTACCTTCTCTTTCTAACAAGCCTGTATTGTACTATATACTCTACCTTGTTAATCCTAAAGTTCATATTTCATTTCTTGAAACTTGATTTCTAGCATTGTGAAACACGCGGCTTCGCTCTTATTTGTTTTGGAATTTATTATATAGATACTTTTGAGCCTTTTTCATATATTCCATAAATTCATCATAATTTGTACTCATTTCTAAACCGAATAGTTTTATTTTTATGGGCAAATAAAATAAAACAAATATTTATCCAAATCATGGGTTATTTTCATTTAAAGTCTGTTTCACATCACATAAACAGCCTTTAATAGTCCACTGCTGGACATAGGCCTCTCCTTAGAAAGGAAGTTTTGGCCTACTATACAACACTGGCCAGGGCTGGTATAGGGCTTGGTTGTTTTGCGTATAGTTTTCTCCCTGAGTCGGCTCTTACGACACCCACGGGATGAATAGGGGTGGTGACTGTCTTTTTTCTTAATCCGTCACCACATGGATATTTGTTTTAATATAAAATATTTATCTTAAATTAAACCAAGGCTTTTACTTGCATTAGTTTTTCTAAATGAATATTTAATTACGATGACGGACGCACAGTCCCATTTCATGTCTGTATAGAGACAGACAGATGAATGCCTATCTCAGGTTTTATTGACAATGTTAGGTTGAAAATCAACTCTATGTTCTTATGTTTAAGGTCAAATTTACTCTAAATGTCTGTGTTTATTATCTGATTAGTATTGGCCGACTTCATTGAGGGGTAATAAGAACGAAGGGTTGTTGATAACGATAGTGGCCTAGTAGACAAGTAGAATTAAAAAAATAGACAAGTAGAATTAGAAAAATCGGAGTGATTTTTTTTTTTCAGATTCAACTATTAGGAATTATTTGCAATAAATATTATAACAAAATCCTTTCCTCCAAACTTCCTTTCTAAGGACAGGCCTATGTCCAGCAGTGGACTGCTAAAGGCTGTTAATGTGATGATGTGATTATAACAAAATATTGTTAGCTAACGTGCCAAAAACAAAGTCAAAAATGGTAGAAAGTTTTTCGCGTCTAGAGCGAAAACTAAAGCTCCTATGAAAAAAGGTTGAATGTAACAAATGTACGCAATTAAAAAAAGGGAATGAACCCCCGGAGAGCAAAATCGGACCATCCGATCGCCCAAATTTTGCAAAACTTGGAAAATTGGTAACTCGCGTTCAGGAAATAGTAGAGAGCTGAAATTTGGATATGTTGTCAATGTTATAGTCTTGTAACTATAGCTAAAGTGTCAGGTGAAAATGTTGTAAACTTTTTGCAAACCGTCGACTTTTGCAAAAAGTGACCGATTGGGATGGGGTTTTGATTTTTGAAAAACATTATAATTTCGTCTTCTATGTATCAAGGAGGAGTTTAACCACAAATTTTCAGGTCATTTGATAAATATACATTTGTTTAAATAGTCAGTAAAGAACAGGTACTTTTTGTTAGCGCGGTGGCGGCCCGAGTGGAAGAGAAAGAGAAAGGAGAAAATTCAGAGCTACGTCGATCTCTCAACTGACCCGCCTGCTAACTGCCCACTCTAACAAAAAAAATGCATAATGAATTATGCATATGCCTGAAATGATTCAGGTGAAATAATTTATTAAAAGCAAAAGAGGCTACCCTATTAAATAATAGGAGTCTCTGTTGTAGTTTTAAATCCTGACAACGTCTTTGTCAGTAGGCCTTCTTCCCGAGTGTCATAACTCGGTGTGTTCGTGGCTCACTGCTGTGGATCCTGGTGTACAGGAGTTACAGTGGTGGGCGTGTGGGTGGGATTAGTCCCATTAAAAAAGTAGGCCTTCGAACCTTAATCGGCGAAAATTATAAGTGTACCAATAGCGGCGATACCAGGTCTCGCAAATCCATGATGATTAGATCTCAAGCTAAAAAGGAGTATATTTTTTTATATAAGATTAGAAACGAGCAGATTGATCTCCTGATGGTGATGGTGAACTTGGAAATGGACACCTTCTAATCAAGAGCCACTAGTTCGTTACCAACCATTGACTGCCCACCAGACTTATTAGAATTAGGATGGGGGAAGGGTTATTGCTCGCACAATTGTTTTTTCTTTGTTTTTTTTTTTAAGACAACTCCCGCATTAAGATTACATTCTTGTGTTGCGGGGGACTTTACAAACATATATTAAACGGACACAAAGAATACCCAGATTCGGAACATCAATTTGTGAATCACACAAAGTGTTGTTCCATGCGGGAAAACCCACAACACTCAGCGCAGTAGAAAGCGGGGTGACCGCTTAAACCACTACGTCATCCTTGCAGTCCACGAGCAACACTGGTTTCCTGTGAGACCGTGGTGATGGAGGTCCGAGCTAGCCCTCCCACAAAACTTTGACATGTATATAAATAGGTAAACACAGTTTGGAAATTAAATAAAACAGCTGAGCCTTCAAACAATTTTGTATTTGAATAAATACTACATACATTGTTAGTAATACTATTTCATTTTATTACATACTTATTATCTCTATTAAAATAAAAGAAATCTTTACAAACATCGCCAAAAATAGTCATACACCCAGCATGATAACTATTTATGGGATTTCAGTTGAAAAAAATAGTAATTATTTGAAAATTAATTTATATTAAGACGGTATTTATTGACTAGAACAGTTTTATAAAAGTAATTAGGCCGAAATATCAAGATGGGTATGACATTTTTGTTTGAAAAAAACTTAGCATGTGTCAATTAAAAAAAATACAACTGTCAAAAAGAATTCTCGAAGTACGGATCATATACAAGGGAATGTTATTAATTATATTTTCAGTTATTTATTATTTTACTTATAACCAAGATTTTTGAATGCGGGTTCCTCGTTAATGCTGTGTTCGAAGAATGGGCTCTCTCTGAAGATAACAGACGCGTCGGCTATATGCATTTGTCTCTTGCCATATCTGAAAAAAAAGATTAATGTAGCTGGCAACACAAAATTCATAAACTACGACCATTTTAAACATCGCTTTATTGTATATACATATTATCGCGTTATTCCCATACGAGGTAGTAGTTGTTTTCTCGATAGCCATTTTTAAATCTGAAGTTTTCAACTCTAGGTAAAACATTGGAGCTGAAAATCAAACATGACGCCGAGGAACACCTCTTGGACAGGCCGTAGACCTGGAGATGTCAGTCACCCCGAGACCCTAGCTGGGGTCTAGGAGAGAACCCACGAGAGAGAAGCATGACGTTGGCCTTAAAGTTGCATAAAGTACTTTTGTTTGAAGAAAGATGTCGCTGTTGCTAGACATGTTGCGTATAAATACTTAATAGATGGCAGTGTAGTTAAAAAATGAGTGTGTGTTGCCATCTAGTATCAAAGGCTAACTACAGGTAGCTGGTACTTATAACACAGAATATCCTATTTTAAGTACCAGCAGAACATTAAGATTTGTTGTACCTCTATTGAGAAATCTACTACTATGTACCTACTTGTATATTGTGCCAATAAAGAAATTTATTTTTATTATAAATAACCTTGCTGCCATCTAGTAGCAGCGGTGAGAACCAAGTTGAAGAAAACTCTTTCAAGTGAACAGCCGTTCACGTTTTAATTTATTGCAATTACACGGATTCTATTCACAGTTATCAATTTTGTTTTAAGAAAGAAAGAAGTACCTAAGACAGCTCCTTGTGCACGGATTCGAAATGACTCACATGAAAATAAATATTCAACTTGTATAAGATATCACTGTAGGCTAAAACCTTCTTACTAATGAGAGGCCTATGTCCAGCAGGAGGCCTATGACTATTAAAGGTAGTTGATGTGATGTGTAAAGGTTTAACAGACATCAATATACCTAAAAAACTCCTCCTTTTTTGTGAAGTCAATTAAAAATACTGTTAAGTTGATTGCGTCTAAATCATAGCTCTAACTTAAGCTGTTAAGCTGTCTGTTACATACAAACTACTATGATTTAATACCGCGACTTCGTTCGTTTGAAATTTGTAAAGCGCTGTCTTAGTGGTTTAGTATGGTACGGACGATTCCCGGACCAAGCATAATTCTATACGGCTTTTCTGAGAGAAAAAATAGCCTAAGTTACTCCTTATATAGGCACCTGGTAGTAAAATATTATCAAAATCGGTCCAGCTGTTTTGAATATTACCCGAACAAACAGACAGACAAAAAATATTTAAACTGGTTTTAGGCATAGACTAGCTAAGACCCGCGGTGTTACCCGCGTTTGTTGTTATAACCGCGGGCAACGCCGCGGGGCGAAGCTAGTCTAAAAAAAGTAGCCCAAGTTACTCCTTATGTCATCAGCTATCTGCCAGTGAAAGTCCCGTCGAAATCGGTCCAGCCGTTCCAGAGATTACCCGGAACAAACAGACAGACAGACAGACAGACAAAAATTGTAAAAAATGTTATTTTGGTGTGTAGTGAAAAGCGGTTATTTTAATATTACAAACAGACACTAATTTTATTTATTTTAATTCACATTTGTGAGATGCGCCCTCCCTAGTGTAAGGTCATAATATTTTGCAATTTTCACATTTAGAAATTATGAAATATTTCTTTTGCAAATATTGTTTGGACTCCGACTCACTCGGTTAAAACCAAAGAAGGGATCGCTTAACAAGTTTGTGTGTCTGTAAGGCCGTTGTGTCATACCCAAACCCTCGCATAGAAGTCTTAATAAAGAATATGAACCGCACAAGGCCAGGCGGTGTGGCGGTGGTGGACTCTACTGAGCTATGACCTTAGAGCTTTTTAAATGCTCTCATCTATCTGCATACTCAGCTGGACTAGCCAGCAATTTAAGCTGCAACTAGGGTTTCGGTCCCAGGGCGTCTCGTTTCTCGAAGTCCCGGAACTTTTTGTAAATTTAGTTGTCTCGGGTCCCGAGACTTTCGAGTCGAGACGAGACACACAAAACTATGAACGCACTGATTTTTTTAAAGCCTATTTGATTAAATTGATTAATTATTTATAAGAGTGATTTTTTTTAAATTCATTTTTTTTCTTAAAAAAAGACAACTCCCGCATTAGGAAAATATCCTGTGTCGCGGGGGACTTTACAAACATACATGAAACGGACACAAAGAACACCCAGACTCAGAACAACAATTTGTGGATCACACAAAGTGTCGTCCCATGTGGGGTTTGAACCTACAACACTCGGCGTAGTAGGAAGCGGCGTGGCGACCGCTTAAACCACTACGCCATCCGTGCAGTCAAAATTTATAAGTCTGTTTCATACTTAGATGATTTTATTATGAAACAAATCTGTGATTACGGGAATTATGTTATGACCAATGAGTAAACACTAGAAAATAGTTATTAAAAATTAGTATGATTAACTTTAATTTATGATTAATTAGCATAATAAAACAAACTTAATCAAAGTTTGTTTTATTATTGTAAGATTAATTGTTAAAAGTTATTCCATGATTATAAAAAATAAACATACCAAATATTTAGACTAAAATTAGCGTTAAAATTGTTAGGATTTAAATTTATGTTTAATAAATGTTGCTTTTTAACAAATATTGCTTTTTTTTAATAAATTTAGCTAGAAATAAACTCGATTCAAATTTTTTTGAGAACTCCTCAGGTCCTGGGACATTCCGGGACTTTGATCGTAGGCTGTCTCGTGTCCCTGGACTTTAAAAATGTCCAAACCCTAGCTGCAACTAATAAAACTAACGAAAAAGCTCTCACCGTCCCCTTCCATGAACAGAGTAATATTCCTGCAGTTCCTTCAAATAGTTGGATATTTGTTCGGCAGTATCGAAGCGTTCGGGGCGGCGGGGGCGCGGGTACTGCGCCTGCGCCGCGCACGACAACATGGCGGACAGCACTAAGATGGCGGCTAGGAACATACGCATTGTTGTTGCTGAAATAATTTTAATTTTATTTATTAACACCTTATGTATAAAAATTTACAGTTAATGCTATGGGCATTTTGATGAGTGACTAGGTTAGTTCACTATGCTTAAGTTAATAAAGAACTTAACATTAAGAAATACTAACATTGTAAAAAAAATGGAAATAATTAGATATTGTTAGTTAGTATGATGAACACAAAGCACTATTACTAAGCTTCAGCTGACCTTCGGTTTGTGAGCGGGAACTTTTACAACCTTTTTTTTATAAAGGGAGTGGAAATCGTTAATTGACTGATGTCAGTTAACAATTTTAACCCCCCTTTTTTGGATACTTGGCACTCACTCTCATTAAAATTTGCCTTGCACAACCAACCTGTGGGGCAAAATTTCACCTACGGTATTTGCGGACCGAAACGACCTTGAAACCATCAAGAAAAGAGCGTATTTTGGTGCTCGTTTGGCAACTATATTTAAAAAAAACTGTATTTTTTACATTTTTTCAGTTTGTGGATCGCCATTTGTCACACAATACAACTTCTAAACGCTATACAGAAAGTTCTGTACCTACTTTCAGCAGTACCATAGAGTTTATAAAACAAAAAAATGCTTGTCGATGTTATTGAGTTCCCTTTCAACGTAAGCGGTTTTAAAACAATGCGATGGAATACTTTTAGTTGCATCGCAAAATTAGTAACAATAGGAACAGCCATTCATTGCCACTTTAGAGTTGTCGGGTTCGATTCCCGCTCACTACAACTATTCTGTACAGTAATAAAAGTAATAAGTTGACGCATCTAATATACGGTCGTCTGGATCAAACGAGGCAGAGCCTGTACCAGACGGCTGATAAACATACTTAAACATAACTCAAATCATCATCATCAACAGCTTTTAATGGTCCACTGCTAGACATGGGTCTCTCTTTAGAAAGGAGGTTGTGGCCTACTATACCACGCTGGCCAGACGGGTTGGTATAGGGTTTGTGTCAAGTTTTCCTTCTTTTTGAGGTGCTGGTGTCCTGCGTTGTTTTGCGCCCTTAGTCGGCTCGTACAACACCCACAGGATCAATTGGGGTAGTGACATTCCGTATTCTTAATCCGTCACTACACGAACTCATTACACCCAGACACAGAACAAATGATCGTGCTCATCACACAATTATTTGTCCTGGGTGGGAATCGAACCCACAACCTCTGGCTTAGCAGTCAGTTTCACCAGGTTTGGTCTTAGAGTTTCTATTTACATAAATATAAAATGAATATTTACAAAAATACCTTTTCTATTACACACCAGTTCTAGATTTAAATATTCGTCGTACAGCGTTTTAAGCAAACAATATTTGACATTTAGTCGTAACTGTTTGCACATCAAGCTAATGTAACCCGCCAACACATACGACAGAGTGCAGAACTAACACGAACTTTGTTTGAACGCCTATCGGACAATTAAAGAGCATTTTAGTAATGACATTATCGGTTCAAATCGCCTATAGTTAGGGATATTTATGGTAACATTAATTAATTAATACGTGAAGTCAAACATAGACAATTTTGTTACCGAGTAATAGTTAGTATGTAAAAATGGGAAGGTGAAAAGCTGATATTGTTTTAAATAATGGTCTTTTAATAACATGGGCTTGTTAAGTTTTCACATCACATCACATCAACAGCCTTTAATAGTCTACTGCTGAACATAGGCCTCTCTTTAGAAAAGAGTTTTTGGCCTACTATACCACGTTGGCCAGACGGGTTGGTACAGGGTTTGTTTCAAGTTTTCCTTCTCTTTGCAGTGCTGTTGTCCTGCGTAGTTAGTTCCCTTAGTCAGCTCTTACGACACCCACGGGATGAATAGGGGTGGTGATACTCCGTAATTTTAATCCGTCACCACGCGGAAGTTACGTTAAATTTTGTACGGTCTAAATGTAGCAAAACTAGGTCAATAATAACTCGGTAGGTGCAACGTCTGGTGAGTATGGCGGATAAGGGAGAGCTTCCAACCCCAGCTCTTGCAGCTTGGAGACTGTCTGTTGCGCAGTATGGGGTCGCGCGTTGTCGTGAAGGAACAGTGGGGACGACCGTTTGACCAAAGCTGGTTGCTTGGTACTCACCAGACCTTGCACCTACCGATTACTACTTTATCCAAAATTTAGACAACTTTTTAGTGGGTAAAAATTCAATTCCCGAGAGGCAGTACAAAATGCCTTTGAAGAGTTTGTTGCCTCCCGTCCAGCTGATTTTTACAAGAAGGGCATCAATAAACTGCCAATGCGTTGGCAAAGATGCGTCGATTGCATGGGTGATTACTTCGAATAACAGAAATAAAAAAGTTTGAAAAAATAAGTACTTTCACTTATTTCATACAAAACGGCAATTTCATAGGTAAAGACCTATTTTTTTTTTTAGAAGAGACCTTTCGCGGGTCTGGTGCTAGCTTAATAATAAGACGCAGTGGTTATGTAAATTCGTCACAGTTGTGGTTTCATGATTTATAAATCATATGATTTATTTTAATAATGGTCATTGTGATTTTATTTCATCCCAACTTAACACCGGTTTTCTGTGAGGCCGTGGTATCACTCTTGTCAAGCCGCCACAAATGTTCCGAAGCATGTCTCTCCTTCCTAATAAATAATGTTAATCCATAATGTCAGCTGTTATAATGAAGAAATATATCAAACCAAAGGCGTAACCACTTAGCAAGTACTTTAATATTTATTGGTGGTATTTTCATAAATTACTGAGTCCCTTAGTATCTTAGTTATGGTACCTTTTCGCGGCGCAATTACGGTGCATATTCACGGCACTTTTTAGTCGACTTTAAAAAAAGCAGGAGGTTCTCAAATCGATTGTATTTTTTTTAATTTCTATTACTTCCGAACTCCGTTATTTATCAGGTTTAAGATCGTTTATTTCTCACAAAGATTAACATAAACTATTCACTTACATGAGAAAAACAAATTACAGTTTTATTAATTTATCTGTGATACAGAAAACAGTAATTTAAACAAAATACCAACAAAACAATTTCTTACACAAATGTAGTGAGGGTAACTTAAAAACATTATGAATTCCAAATATTTGTTCAACACGTCAGCAGTAAATATAGCGATCGAGTGCCTAGAAGTGACAAAACGGTTTATACACACTACAATTTACTTTTACATATTTTGAACTATGAAAACTATTTTCTTCTAGTTATGGTAGTAAATTTAAGTATACAATTTGATAATACAGTAAACTTAGTACATATTTAGTTGATTATTGTCGTCCCATGTGGGGTTTGAACCCACAACACTCGGCGCGGTAGGAAGCGCGTTTTTATACCAGAAATCATTTTTTAAGGGGTTGCAAAGAGGGGATGAAAATATGTATGGAGAATCCATAATCGCTAAACAGATAAGATTTAGCTAACTTCTTAGATTTTTATAATATTATACTAGCTTCTGCCCGCAGCTTGGCCCGTGTGTATGTCGATTATAGCGGTAAAAAGATGTCCTATCCTATGTCCTTCCTCAAGAATCAAACTGTCTCTATACGAAATTTCATCTAAATCGGTTCAGCGGTTTAAGCGTGAAGAGGTAACAGACAGACAGACACACTTTCGCATTTATAATATTAGTACGGATTATTATAACCATAGGCAACTGGCCTATTGACATAACAATAGTGTATTTAATATCATGTGATAAAACGGGACAAAGGCATCACTCATACAGCCAATTACTGTCACAGCTTAGTAGAATTATAATATTAAACATCAAATACTAATTATGTGATATAATATAAGCTTTATATCGATTGTTTGACATAGTGTTATTGATATCGATAAATTTGTCGAGTAGGCCGCGTAAACTCGCGTGTTTGTGCGTGTTGCGTAGTAAAAAAAAGATAAATAAATGCTTTGATTTTTTGTGGTTCGCTAAACTGTTTTAATCACAGTCTTGGAGGTTATTAAAATTAAGAAGCAGCGTCTTGTATAATGTTAAACAATTATTGTATTATAGTTTTTCAAATAATTTTGATTTCTTTTTGTGTATTTTGTAAAGTCCGCCATTAGAAAACAGATTTTTTTTGTCCTTGCGGTACACTATTTCACTTTGGTTGTGGCTATTGTCCATTTATTTTTGAATGTGTATTTTAGTAGTCATAATTCTACTAAAAGATTTATTGAACAAATGACTGCACGGATGGCGTAGCGGTTTAAACGGTCGCCACGCCGCTCACTACTACGCTGAGTGTTGTGGGTCCGATCCCCACATGGGACAACACTTTGTGTGATTCACAAATTGTTGTTCTAAGTCGTTTTATGTGTTTGTAAAGTTCCCCGCGACACACGATTAATTCCTAGTGCGGCAGTTGTCTTTTTTAAGAATAAAAAGAAAAAAAATTGTTAAGCAGAGAAAAGTTTATCGAATCCTTACCGACATATTTTCTTTCTCTATGTAAATGTTATCTCATTTTGAAATGTAATTACACATCAATCATCAAAAGTCCACTACTGGACATAGGCCTCTCCTTAGAAAGGAGGTTTTGGCCTACTATAACACGCTGGCCAGACGGGTTGGTATAGGGTTTGTGTCAAGTTTTCCTTCTCTCTGCAGTGCTGTTGTTCTGCGTAGTTTTCTCCCTTAGTCGGCTCTTACGACACCCACGGGATAAATAGGGGTGGTGACACTCTGTATTCTTAATCCGTCACCTATTTAAAGAAATATAAATAACATAAATGCTATTAATCTACGGTACGCGCTCCCACAAGAAATTAGGATATCAACAAACCGATCCATTTTAAATCTAAAAGTATCAAGCTCTATGGAGACGGAGTCGTTTTTATAAAACTTTAGGAGTTCCCATAACACAAAATTCGTTTTGGGTGAAACCCACGACCTCTGAAGTGCTTAGAAGTCAGCATTGCTACCCCTAAGCCAATAGAGCAGTCTAGTTTTTATTTACCAGAGATATGCTTCGACACATTTGGATCAGGCTCGACCGGAGTATTACCAA